GTCAGAATTCTGAGATTTATGTCAGAATAATAATAATACAAAATATATTAATGTCAGAAGAATGATAATACAAAATATATTTATGTTGGACCTTTTTTTTTTTTTAAATCCCCAGTGGACATAATCCTCCCCTGTAGGATTTGAGGTGGTCAAGGAAAAGACAGATGTAGGACATGAGACAGACTCTATTGTAAAGCAGTCATTGACAGGCGGCTCCTTCCTCCCTCTCATCACCTTGATAAGGCCTCCTCTGAAGCCTGAGCTCAGCACCTCATCACAGGTTGTAGGATCTGAGCGAGGACGGCAGCTGTTTCAGCAGAAGTGTGAACTCAATTAGGATGAAGTGGAGCTAATGATAACAACTCAAAAACTCAATACAAAGAAGATACTGACATGCTACCAGTTATTGACAAGGGATTTCATAAGAAAGGCTTAAGAGCTGTATGACTGAACATTTGTAGACTCTGTTTTGTGAGTGGAACAGATGTAAGAGTGGGTTAAAACTGAGGAAACAGAGCCTCCTTAGGCTGGAATAAAATATCCCCATGAGTCGAGTTGAACCGCACTGACCTATGACCTTAAATTGGCGTGCGATCCCAACTGGACAAATCATCTTTTGTGTATAATGGTCGTCATGTGCTTTATCTGGACTAACATGTCCCTTTAATTACCTCATTTAGACCTAATGTGTCTGCAAGAAAAATGAGCAAAGGTTCCCCTTTAGGCATGCAGTAGAATTTGCTTAGGTTGGTGAGAGAGAAGGGTTAAAGTCGAGTTAGTCATTAAAATTTGCAAACCAGGACCGGTTTGGGTTACAAGTAAGGACAAATATAACCTCTCCTTCAAAATAATGGTTGTGGTTTTTCTTGTTGCTGTCTAGCATGTTGTCCCTGAACCCCTGTCTCCCTCTTTCCCAGCCCGTCTCACTGATTGCTCTCCCTGTCTGTGCCTCCCAGGCCTGCCTCTCCACCTCTTGCCCCAACCTTCTCTCACTTCTCTAATGAGAGCGTGTGTTACACAGGCATTCAGAAAACCTCCTCAGCTAATTACATGACAAGCATCTCGTTCTGGGGCTCTAATGAAGAGGAATAGTGAGCGGCAGACGCCACTGGAGTGCTGGTGTGGCGTTGTGTGTGTGTGTGTGTGTAGGGGGTGGTGGTGGAAGTAGGGGGGGGGGGGGGGGGGGTCAAGCTAGCCACTGGGTGGGGTGTTTGTGTGTATGTTTGAGTACATGTGTGTGTATTGGCAAGAAGAGTCCTGGCGCCAGTCCAGCAGCTTATCAAGCAGAGCATGTTGGACTCAGCATCTCGTTCACTCCCTCCCTCCACGTTTTTGCTTTTTCCCTTTCATCTTACTGCACTCATCTTTTTCTTCTCGTAAAAAGGGAGGCGTAAGGCTGTTATTTTGCCAAGCGACGTTAGCTTTTCACCTATCAAAGATGGTATAAGGTTTGAAAAAGACGCTTGATCTCTCAGTCTTTAGAGTATGACATCAAATACATACTAATCCATGATGTCTCACTTTGCACTAGTGTGTGAAAGTGATACATGTACTGTATGTTTCAGCAGCAGAATTGACAAAGCGAACCCTGACTGACTAAAACTTCAACACACATAGCCTTGAGATAAACCCCACACACACAGACGACAGAAAAGAGAGAGACACAGAGAGAGAGAGAGAGACCTAGGCACAAATCCAACGACTCAGCATGTGCTTTGCAGGAACTCGTTCTGTCAAGAGGCACACTCGGACAGAAGATCGCTGTCCAGTACCATCCCTTGTGAAACACTTGAGAAACACAAACCATCTGGAGGCTATAGTGCACACTGTCGACCCATCAAATATTGAGGATGTTTGTCTGATTTACAGGGCCTATTTGGGACTGTTTGGACAACTTGGCTGAGGGATTCGTGCTTTAATTAAAGATAATATCAAGAGCTAATATTGCCCCCAAGACCTTTGCCTCCCAGTCAATAGTGCAACAAAGTCACTGATCTGTGGACGAGGGTAAAAGTTTCGACCACAAACACTTCTAAATGAAACTCTCCCAGCCTGATGCAAATGTTTCTGCATGCTCTCTATTTCACTGAGGTTACTGCCCTAATTTTCCCCCTCTTTCTGTCTGCTGCTGCCAATAGCAACGTGGGCTTTTTAAGGTCTAAGCCCACCGCCGCGATGGCATATTGATACTGTCATAAAATATTACATCCTCACTTTATTCATTAGTACTGGGCTTTAATCTAAAAATATCACGGGCAGGGAATAAAACAGAGTTTTCAGCGGCAGAAAGATTAGGCCTGTGTTTCACTCGCTGAGCGCCACAGCTCGGAAACACTGAGGCCCAAAATAGATGTTCTTCTCATAAAGGGCTCCTTCTTTGTAGTCGGCATACAGCAACAACATCTGCAGGGCAGTTTCTATGGGGGGAACAGATTCGGGCAGGCTATCAAAGAGAGAGGCGATCTCCTGTGAGAAGCGGTGGGCGGAGGACTTCCATATTCTCCCTCTCCATTTCTTTTTTTCTTTCCTCTGTCCTGCTCTTTCCTTCTATCCTTTGCTTCCAAAAATCTGTAGCAATCAGGACGATGCTAATAAAAGACCATTAATATCACCTGTCAGCGCTATCTTTGGAAGATCCAAAATGAGAAAATGAGACAAAAGGATTCACAGACTGGTGCTGCTCACAGAGAAGCGGCAGTACGGGTGTGCTGACTGAAATTAAGCATTTGAAGACTGAAATCCATCAGTGTTCAAAGACGAAAACAACACAAGAGTTATATGTTAGTTCCCTCTTTCATCCACGTAATCAAGTTAGCATTATTTTTAGGTTCACCATTAAGTTTGAGAGATTTTTAACACCAAGTTTGCAGTTATTCAGTCAGACTTAAAGCAAACTAAAAGTTTCAACACAGTCAGATTATTTCCGTTTTTGAGGGGTTAAATCAAGGAGCGCACTGCATGATGGGGTTTGTCGCTTCTGAACAGATGGTAAGAATAAAAGTATGACCCATTCATGACTCCTAGTGCTGTATCTTTATAGGCAGAGAGTGAAACTGTCACTGAAACTTCTTGTCACATTTTGAAGTTTAAAGAAAGAGGATTTTAAGCTCCCGGTGCATCCAGGTGAGGAATGTGACATTCAGTCCTTGATAATTGATTTAAAATTGAGCATTTTGGTTTGGATTTTAGATATTTCGGGTCAAAATGGACCTGTACGTCTTTAACTCAGAGCTGATGTTCACATACTGCTAGAATGTAGTAAGCCGGTGAAAGTAAAAGCCATAAAGCCCGGCAGGTCCTTTGACTGATAGCTTTTAGGGGTGGTGGTGGCAGGGCGTTCACTATCTGTTTAATGTAAAACATAAGCACAGCCTGCACAGAGATGGGAGCTCTGATCGGAAAAAGGTGGCACCTAAATGGAGAGGTGAAAAGCAAAGGGGGCAACGTGATGATAGTGGCTTCATGCAGAGCAGAAGTGTATCGAAGGCCTCGCCTTTGAACTGGTGAGCCGGCTAATTGAAACAGCATTGCCGGGGCATCGGCTGAAGATCTGGATCGCATTCATCCTCCCTTATATTCAATTTGGTCTCATCACATGGGGCACATCCCAGGCTTTTCTCTCCACATGGCAATAAGTCATACCCTTGCCTTTTGCCCTCGACGTGTTGCCCATCTGTGTCCCCCGAGGGCCCGGGCGGCTGAGGCCCACTGAACACTGAAGGATTCTGACGAGGTCTTGAGAAAATGCAGACTCCCCGCCACCGAGCCCCTTATGGTACTTCTTCACGCCTCTCACCTTGGACTTGACCCCCCCGCACCCCCTCTGCCAAACCCATCTCCTCAGCTCTTCTCTCACATAGACAAGCATACACACAGAGACACACACCTCCTCGCCCCATGACTTTTAAGATTTACTGTTAAGAGCAGCGGCTGTCAGAAGGTTTGAACCGTGCACTTTCTAATTCAAACAAATGCTGCGCCAGGGTCACGGAATTATCATGGAGTCACAAGGTGTTTCAGATGACTCGCAAGTGCTGAGTGTTAAGCTGATAGAGAGAGAGAGAGAGAGAGAGAGAGAAAGAGAGTGAGAGAGAGAGCTGCACTTTATGCTTGTGTAGGTAGCAGTGCAGTGGAAAGCTTGTGATCCCACTGAGTGGAAAAAAAATAAACACACAAAGCGTTAAATAAGCTAATAGATAAAGCTGCGTACTCTCACCTGGTTATCACTTGCTTCTATCAGGGCAGGAGGATGTAGATCTCGAGCTGTACTGAGGAGACTTCTCATTTCGCAGAAGAGCGATCAAGGTTTCTGTCATTGCTTTAATCAGTGTCTCACATGCATTTGCTTTTTGGCCTGGCTTTGGCGACACTCAGAAGATGTATTACAGTTAGTGCTGCACGATAAATAAATATTCAAGACGCACAGTGCTCATTGGTGCATTCTGGTAAGACTGGGAATTTATTGATTTGACAGCAGCATTCCTTGTTGTCTTGTTTTAGAGTAGTTTGATGCAAGATTTTGCAAGATAAACACATAAATCGTGGTCAGGAAATAACAAGCTTGATTTTTTTGATAACTGCTGGCACCTGATATATTTTCATATCAGTGCATTTGTTCTTTGTTGTTGTTGTTCACAGGAAAATCATTGCTATTGTCATAATCCACAAACCCTTCCTCCATGTGATGTCTCCATGTCTCTTTCCTGCTTTTTTTCCACAAGAAGACTTTTGGCTCTCTGTTGGAGGAAAACAAACATACAAATAAACAAGATAAATTTATTAAAAATCTCATCAAACACATGCTATTAGATCAAAATGTTCCTGTAAATAAAGCCCTGGATGAAGTACAAAGTGTCTCTAAATGGACACACAGCTCTGTTTTAAGTATTTCCAGTTGATTTGGGATGTGATAAATATGTTGCACTTTGAGTAAAGTGGAGATTAGAGGGATGTAAGGCTGGTCAACCAGAGTTAGGTCACCCAAAACCCCATCACAGACCGCTCTTACAAGTCTACACCTGAGCTGCGGCTGCATGTGAACCACATCTGCAGAGGACTACATCCAGAGGGAAACTGAATTTGGAGAGGATCACCGTATGATTGAGGGAGGGACTAAAAGTGTGCATATCATTCCTTCCTCTGTGGGACTCACAGCGAGCAGGTAGAGCATCTCTGCAGTCCAGCACCGCACAGCTGTCACACTCAGCTGCCCAGCGCCTACACTCCACACTCCACAGCAAAACTTCCCACTCCGCAGTCGGTAAGTGCAAAGTTTTATTTTGACACTCTCGATTATAAATAAACTGATAGCATGCTATAAGGTGTGAAATTAGCGAAAATCCGCGCTTCCTTGATGCATTAGGGTGAAAGTGTTGCCTTCAAAGTTCCAGGTTTTCCCGTAAGGAATCCTGATACAGCGTGCAGCGCGCTTTTTTAATTGAGATGCGCTGCGCCGACCTGCTTCATTTCGGCTTCTTTTTAGGGACTTTCAAAACACCATTTAAAGAAGAGTAAAGTTGATTGCACATTTGCATCTCTTTTTACAAGGAAATTTGCATGTATTCTTTCTCCTTGTAGGTTTAAAACAATCTTTGAAGACGCTATAGATCATGTTGGAGGCGTTTGTGCGTAATAAGTCCCTATCTTTTACTTTTGTCAGTGACAGTTAAGGAAGAGCAAAGGTGGTGCATGTGAATAGCAGCACTGATTTGCACATTATTCACTTGCTATATGAGGATTTTTTTTTTTCCTGAAACAAGAGCATCTGAATCTTTTTATAGGAGATGAACATCTGCAAGCATTGAGCACTGCATGGCGCATCTCCTCTCACTCTGACAGCAACTGCCACAAACTAGATGTGCCAGATTGCTTATCATACAAATGATAGGATGATGGGACCTGTCACTCCATGTAACATACGCCATACTATGCAACCTTTAAGTTAGTTCACAGTCTCTATTTCAAGTAAGCAATATTAAGTGATAAGCAGAGTGTGTAGGAGGAGAGAGGGGTGAGGAAGAGGAAGGAAAAGTGGAGGAGGAGGAGGAGGTGAGGTAGATGAAAGGAGGAGGCTGTTCTGCATAAGGAGAGGGGAGTGATTCAGTGAGGGAGAGTGGTGATGGAAATGTTAGCTTGACATGCATCTGGATTGAGGGATTTTCTTCAGCTCCAGGTGAAATCTTTCTGCCTGCAAGAAAAGCAGCAGGGAAATACTCCTGCGAGCCCTTTAATTTAATCCAAACAAACACTAAACGGTGATGATACGATGTTGTTTCTCATAAAACGCCTCAACCCACTGTTTTTACTCTTCTAAACTGTGGAGCTGATCTCGCAGGTTTTTGTAACCCAGCTTAAATTGTCTCCACCTCTTTCTTTTTTTTGACTCCCACCCTTTCCCTTCTTCCCTCTCCCTCTTCTCACACACCTACATATACACACATGCCCACACACATAGTGCATACCACACACTCGCACACAAAGTGTAAACAGTGTGTGATAGATAGGTCACTCCACCCTGTTTGCGTGTTGATCCCCTCAGCAGGCCCTGCTTCTCCTGTCTGCAACGTTTGTGATGAGTTACTACATGGATCCAGTTTCTTCCTACCCGGCCCTTCACCCCTGTGACCGTCTGGGCACAATGGTAAGACCTCCCTCATAAATTACCTCCTGCGTTAAGGCTGCCACAGCTACCTGCTACACAGCCGGCCAAGAGTGTGAGGCAATGAATGTTTGTGTGTTAGCGTCTCAGCCACATGGTGGTGCAGGAATGTGTGCAGCAGCATATGAGCAGTGTGTTCACATGTGTGTTAGCAACTCTGGATCTCATCACCTCATGGGAACACAAAATTTGAACATTTTTCCTGTTGAGTATGGTCCACAAAAGTCGAATCAATAGCGCCTGCATCTGTACATGCTGTTCTTCATGATTTCATTAAAAGTTGGGAAACAGAGTCGTTGAACAAGATGAATTTCTACAAGGTTGTGAAAATGACCTTTTGACCCGCTCTGTCTTGCACAACCAACGAAGATGTGCTTCTCTTTATCGAGTAACAGTTGTAAATATTGAGACCTGTGGGCCTCCAACCTTGCCACTAACCAACCAAAGCGGAGTCAGACCATCCCTGAATAACACTTTTGACAGCTAAGACACCCGCACAGCACTATGCAGCGGTCCATCTGCAAGAACACCAGGGCTTTTAACATGTTCCAAATGAGAGGGCCGAATACAGAGTCAGAAACAGAGCGAGCTGGGAACATTGGGATTCCTGTCAGATGAGCATTTGAAAAGTGAAGGCCAAGGAGCGGCAAAATAAATGCCTCCATTTGTATGCAGAGCGCCAACACATTAGGATAAGAGACTGAGGTTATATGCAAATGGCAACCCCACCCGGCCTGATAGGAAACATAGAAGGATACAGCTCCCAGGGTCCTAATTGGCTAAGGTGGAGGGGCTTGCCTTTGAAATTGAGACTACTGTATACCAGGGCAGACCTGGTCAAAAGGTGAACTTGGGTCATCCCGGTAGCTCTATTCTTTTGAATTTACATGAATTATCAGCAAAAAACAGCAGGGCCTGGTCTTTTTTATCATTTTATGTTTACACTCTTACTTTCAATGTCTCGTATGCTGTGCAAAATCTGTGCTGCAAACACTGACAATCAAAAAAATTACAGGAGGTACAGCCTGTTGCAATTAAATGTAAAATTTCTGGAGATTCTCTGATCACAATTATTTAAAACCACATGCTATTCTTCTGTTTGTGTTTTCTTAAAGAATTCCTTACAAGTATTAAACACAACATGATACCACCTGATATCTTTAAGCACCAGTTATGGGGTTTTGGCCAGTCATAAAAGGGATCCAAATCAGTGCTCAAGCAAATAAGACCATCAGCACAAAGATGAAACTAATTCTGTACAGTCATTTTGTCAGAAACTACATGCAGGGGGTCAGTGTCAGTCACACTGAGTAATCCCATGCAACTGAAACAGCATAGAGTGAACAGTTTTTTTGTTATTTAACTACAGCACAGCTAACTGTTGAAATTGGATTCACATAGCAAGACGGTGTCAATCAAAACAAAAACAAAATTAAAGCTCCAGTAAGCAACTTTCTGTTTATATCAACTTTGGCGCCCCCTGTCAACAAAGGAGTCTTTGCTTATCTTGTCCTCAACAGACTTGAGTAGTGATTTTTGATTAAATAACTGTCATCCTGCTCAGCTGACACCTACTCTCTCTCACCAGTTTTGGGAGATGGTTAATAACATAATACCCATTTTTAACTGTGTCGCTGACAGTGGAGTTTAATTTTGGATATCATTGAAAGGCGTCAGTATGATTTTCATAAACATCGAAAGACTCCAATCTGGAGTGTTTGGACAGTAGCCTATTCCAATGAGATTCAGGAAGTGATTGGTATGATGTATGAAATGGGTACCACTTTAAGAAAAAATTTATACGGGTACCTTGTAATGCATGGCATAGCAATGAATGACAATGAAAATGATTATATACCAAGCTTAGGATGTCTTTGATACAAACAAGTGAACCAATCATTGCAGAAAGGCAAACGTGTCAACATTGATCTTAAGTTCAAGAGGGGTTTTTGGTTTTTAATCACCACCACTACTGCTACTCTTTCAAAACATCCGCCTATTTATTTACATCTGTACGCTAACTGATCATTAAAAATTTCTATATAGAACCACTAGAGGGCAGATAAACTCAGTGACAATAGTCCCACATGTTCATGTGATTTGGTGTAAGTATCATGAGTCATAAAAATGACAGGTTATGAAAGTCTGATATTTATTGCCTTGAATGCCTGTTGAAATATCTGTGTACTTGAAAAATGTTTCCACTCCACTATATTACTTTTAAAAACATGTAAATTTGATGTAAATGTTCAAGTGCTCCGTGGGTTGTGAGAAGTGCAATTAAAATGTGTTAATAAGACACCAGTCAGAAAAATAAGATGTAAAAATCAAAACCAAAAACATACACCTGAGTGTAGCATTATGTAATCATTAGAAATGTTGCAGCACATTCCTTACTCAGACCTGAAGCATCACCTGATATTGCATCAGACATGACTGCACTATCAAACTGAAACCTGGTCAACTTTAGAGAGGCGATAGATTTCCACTTAATTTCTTGGTGCCATTAAGTCTGGTTTGTGTAAATATGTTTTTGCTTTGATTTGTTATCCAAAAGTTTTATTGTCTTTTAAACTTGAGTATTTACTAGTTCTGTCATGAATCTACTGAAACCAAGAAGATCAAAAAAAGGCATAAAATCAATCATATAAAACAAATGTTTTGCCTCAGAGTATTAGAGTATTGAAATTCTCAGTTTGTTCCGTTAGAGTAAAATCCTCCTCTAAGTGAACCTGAGACTGACTTTTGAATTGAGAGTTGTTTTACACTTAAACTGATAAATCAACATTATGGTGTTGATGATATCTCCACTGCTATCTTTGTCAGTCTACTCGTCTTTCCACAAATAGTCCTTGTGGCTCCTTTCATGCCTATCTAACTTTTCCCCCTTTGCAGACAGGACTGATAGGAGAAGGCAGTGCTCCACACAAACCTCTGAAAACCTCTTAAATTCTCCTCTCTGATCCTCTGGCCATGTTTGCCATCTTTAAAGCTGGCTGGCTGCAGATAAATATTGCTTATCTCGTTGGCAGTCACTGTCAAGCAGTCTGTTGGTTATAAATATGACATATAACATATGGCAGTCTAAAATCACTCACATCACTGACTTTGAAAGACTCACATACACTTTGAGAACAGTTGTGAAATGTGCATTTATTCTGAGGCAGTTTACACGGTGTATACATAGACTCACATAGACATCCTTTTGTGAGAAAAATGTTGTACTTTGTTCACATCTCTTCCAAACATAAATGTCCAACAATTTCCATTGGTATTTGTTTTTGTTTTCAGATTGATATGCTAAAAAAATGGCAGACTACAATCGTCCTCCAGTTCCATATCTTCCCCATAGTCCCCCTGTCAAATGCTGGCTGCAGACTTCCTCCTTGGTTCAACCTTTTGCATGAAAGTTTCTGTGATAAGCGGGATAAAATAACAAAGCAAAGATAAACTGAAAGAGTCAAATTTAGCCGAAGGGGTTATCTGTGCAGGAAAACAAAGAAAAATACAGTGTTTTTCTTATCCAGGGTTTCTCTGGATTTATCACAGCCACTGAGAAGTTTGATCAGCTGGTTACAGCGCAAAACTATATGGACTGTGGGGAACCGGTTTGGCCCATTGGTTCAGTTGGGCACCCCATGTACCCTGGCTGTAGCTGAAGAGTGGGTGGTGCAGGTTTATTTCCAGCCCTCAGCCCCCTTCCTGCATGTCAATCCCCACTGTCTCTCTCTATTTCGAGCTCTTTCCACTGTCCCATCCTTTATCCTTTATGGATAAAGTCACAAAAACACATACTGACTTATTTTCAGCCCAGTTAAAACTGGGGTGTTGTATCACCCCTGAGGATAAGAGCTTGTTCCAGGTATAAAAATATATATATCTCAGATTGAATTCCCTTAACAAAAAGTAAGGACAACCCCAGCTTACATGTCAGATCTACCTGAATCCTTTCTACTGTACGGGCTTTCAAATGCATTTGTGTTTTCATGGTTATACCAGGTTTTACTTTACATTGCATAATCAAAATTCCAAGTCCTGATTTGCGACTAACAGATGTGACTAACTTGATTTAGTTAAAAGTATCAACTCCAGAGTAATAGGATGTGCAAACTTGATTTCCAGCAGAACCTATAGGCAGATAAAAGAAGTACACCAAAGACAGACAACTATGTAACAAATACATGACATGATAAAAAGGTTGGTGTTGTTTCGTTTTTTGTGTGTGCATTCAGAGACAGAGTGGAGGGGTGCCAGTAGGTCCACATACCCAGTTTCCCATCGTGGTCCACTCTCAGCAGCAGTGTTACCCATCACAGCCCCTTTACATCCAGGACATCCCTCTACAGGAGGTTCCCAATGGACACGACCTGTGCTCTACAGGTAAGAGATGCACACAGACTGTCCCAAACATGATGTCTGGGCCAAGAGCTTTTTGATGCATGTCGTGTTTTTTTTTTTTTTTTTTTTATATTACGCCAACTTTCCGTTAACAAATAATTCTTCATCTAAATGAATAAGAGAATTATTTAATGCTCATCGTGTCAATGCTTAAGAAAAAAATATAAAAACTATTCGTTACTTGTGAACAAACAACTCAGAGCAAACAAAAGACCATGCACAAACTGGAATGCTAAATGAGCAATTAGTCTCAACTTGACACACACATGATACTCCCTAATTCAGACACAAACAGCCTCAACTTGACCTGTTGTTCTGCGCATGATGCTCGCGGGATGATGGTGATGTTGACCCTGAGGGCAATGCCTTTACCAGATACCCCCTGTTTCTCTCTTTCGTTCATTCTTTCATTTTTGTTTTTAACCTTTTTTCTTTTTTCTTCTCTAAACCATGCACCACATGCCCCAAAGTTGTCCTTTTCTTTTTCTTCCTTTCACTTTTTTTTTCCAAATAAGTATTATTTTAAACTGCAACATTCCTTCCAGTGCATTTGCCTGTGTTTGACTCTGGCCTCCTTAAGTTCTTAAAAGCGTGATTGATGCTGGTGGACTGGGACACACGCCACAGGAGTAGGGTAGGGGTGCTGGGGGGCACAAGCTTTCTTCCGTCACCTCCCTGAGCTGGATGCGAGGGGTAAGACAGGGGGCCAAAGGGCGGCCATCCTTTTCCCAAGCCCCTGGTTTGGTCCCTGGAGAGATAGAGGGGGGCTGAGTGTGCGTGTGTATGTGTGTGTGAGAGAGAGAGGGAGTCAGGATTTGATGGGATTTGCTGATGTTTGTTGCTGGAGACACACTCCTTTGGAGGACTGACTTCATTGCTCCCAGCGCTAAACCGTTGACATAAACATTGCAGAGTGGAAAAAAATGACCGAACATTGACCTTCTTTCTTTTTTCACCCTGCTCCGAAATCCTTAACTACACTGAGAACAGGTCTAAGAGCATCTGAGTCACCTGGAGATGCTGTAACAGTCATTTAGTGCTTTTTGATGGTGTCAGATAGACTTGCTGGTGGTTTTGTGCAAGCAGCGCATGGTGTTATGAGTCTATACTAATCTCAAGAGCAGCTCAACAACCTTTGACACAACCTCCACACCCTGCAGCCGTTGCTTTGACTAATATCTTCTTAACTGTAAACACAGTCGTCTCTCGAACATTTTCACTTGCAAATTCAGAACCCTCGTGTTTAATTCACATACAGTATGATTAGAAATGGAAGTAACAGGGATTGCAACATAGTTTCTGCTCAGATTTGCATATTTATCTTTTTTATTTCTCATTGACTTACGAGATGTTTAAATCATGATTTTGTTTTGCTATTGAGGATGTTCATTAAATGTTTACGTTTAAACCACATTTCACCTGGAAATCTGCTACTTTCAGGAGATTCATCACATATATCCACTCACCTATTAATTTCAGTAGCTCATACAGCTGAAATGATTGTTGAAGTGAAATACGGACAGATACTAAATATTTCAATACATGAAAGCTGAGTATGAAATCAAGTCCAGCACTCTTCCCTGTCAGCCACAAAGACCTATTAGAACAGCTTCTGTCATTGCATACCAGTGAAGGACAGTATGGTCTGGTGGTCTGTCAGCTGTCCAGATTAAAGCTCTTGAGGGGAACTTTCAGTTTGTGTCCATTTTGAACCTCCCTTATATGTGCAGTCCTCATTTTACTTCTTTTTATGGGGAAAGTTTATAAACTGCTTCTTTTACAGCTCATCTGGGGCCATATGAGCACTGACATGGTGTAGGTGCATAGACTAATGCTGCGTTCGAGTTACCTCGGAAGACAGAAGTCAGAGCTGAAAATCCTGTCACACCTGAGTTCCCAGCGTTTCAGTTACCAAGTCGGAAAAAGCAAAATCGGAGGCGGAAACAAGATGGCTACATCTACGAAAGTTATTTTAGCACTTGCCTTGTCCTTGCTTATATTTGGACAAGGTAAAGTGCTAAAATAACTCAGAACTCAGGTGTGACGTCATTTTCAGTTCCGACATCTGACTCCTGAGGTAATTCGAGCGCAGCAAAAATTCCAACTTAAAGGTGGAGAAGGCGGGATCTGAGGAAGTGCCAGTTTTTCGAGAAATCTTGAATGTAACCACTACCCCTCCCAACCAGTTTTCCCCTCAGCTCCTCCTCTCCCCTCCCTCTCTGCTCCAGCAAGCCCAGATACTTCAGATAATTACAAATGGGGCCCAGTCATTGTGAAAGTAAATGTGAAAGCATTGGTACTACTGTAGATGCCAACAGACTACCAGCAAACACAATGTTTGGAGGACTTCTACAACTAGGATAAAGTGACATAGTCTAGGACCTGAGGTAAACAGTTTAGCGGCACTACAACACGCAGCAGGTCCCGTTTGACAAAAAGCACTTCTGTTACAGACACTTGGCTTACTTTGTTAAAGCGGTTTACCTGTCCAGCAGAAAGGTAACGGGGTCCGTAAGATCCCGAAGCGTTCACTGATGTTGACCCGGCTTTTTAGCTCTTGTCCAGGTTGTCTACCTCCTTTTTAAGCGTCAGTGATTTTGCCAGAGTCTCCAGTATTGACTTAGTTTTCTTGCTTGTGTTGGCAGTCGGACAATTTTCCATACTTTCTGGTTGGTTTCTACTGTCATATTGTAGCTCGCTAACTTTGTTTTGGGCTAATGCACATTATTCAAGGATGGGGACCGTGCCTTACAACATAAGGGAGCAGCATCTGCCTCACAACCAATCAGCACAAGGGCGTAGGGTCCGCCTCAAAACCAATCAGGTTGGGGGAGCAGGGTCTGAAAGAGCGGGCCACTCAAAAATTTTAAAATGTTCACCACACAGACATAATGAAACACAGTGATATTTTTATATTACCAAATGTCATCAATAACTAAGAGCTATTGACTCATATTAAAAGCTTTTTTGTATACACACCACAAAAAGATGCTTTTTTAACAGAATCGTGCCTACCCTTTCTGTAAAGTGGAAAATCATTTTAGAGAAATAATATCACTTTGAAATTTCTGCCCCTTCTTTCACCCCTTGAGTAAACTGTGTCTTAATTGTAAGGCAAACTATGTTTTCTGACATGATAATGTCGTACCATGATTTCGCCACCTTTTAAACCCCAAAATCCAATGCGGAAAATGTGTACAGGCCACAAGCATGTTTGTATTTGATTCTGCAGACTTGTCAGGAAGAAATGGCTTAATTAGGATTTGGTTTCAGGCCGCTTGGCAATTATTCACTCAGCACTGTTTTGAGCCATGAGGGAAATATTTGGTTGTTTAGCTGTTAAATACTCTGCTAGATTTAACAGCCAGTTGCTAACTGTGTCTGTCTGTCTTAATGTGGAGATTATGTCAGTATACAGAGGGTTTTTAAAGCTCTTTTAGCTGACTACAACTAAGTCCCAGGACTCCAAGACAGCAGGAATAGTGAACCTAAACACTCAAGTGCCAGACAGACTTCAAGCTAAGCTGCAAAGATGGAAAACATGCTCTTTACAATTAAATTTTTTATCATCTGATTTAAAAAACCTGCTTTTGATTTATGAACTAGACAGAAATTTTAATACATAAAGATGACTATCGGGATATTTTTTTCTAATAATCAGATTTAATTTTATTTTCAGAATTTACACAGAATCATACATCATTTTAATCTGAATAAGCTAGAAAATGACCAAAAAAAAAAAAAAAGGATAAAACGTGAGGGAAAACAAAACAAAACAAAAAGAAGGGTAAACAAAGAAAAAACCCCAAAACAACAACACAACAATGTGTCATCAATTAAAGAAATGTGTCCTTGTATTTATTAAAAAAAAAAAAAAAAAAAAGAAGAAGTAATTTTTACCATTAGCTCAGTCTGGGACCCCCAAAACCACCGTCTCCCATCTGTATAGTTTCAATTAGACCTTTAGGCAAGTAATCCATAAGGGGCCGCCATGTGTCCATCAAGATATCATCATTCCCTTTTAATTTGGTATACATATAGTATATATTTTCTGGCCAAAAATAAGAGCTTATTAAGTAATTTTGATCTTCTCACATCCATAACTCTATCTGTTGGTGGCAGCCCCGATAGAAACTGGCCTGGATCTTTACATATCTCGTTTTTGAATATTGCTGTCACTTCCTTAGATACACATGACCAGAACTTTGATATTCTTGGACAGCTCCAGAAGACTATCGGGATATTAATCTGCACAATAAATCCAGGTTACAAAACCAGTTGCTTTGTAAACCCCCTTGGATTAGTATTGAGGCTACTTCATAGCATCCTTGACTCCCAATGTAAATCGTTAATCAATCTGAACTTACTTTACTTTTGTGACGTTGGGTTTTTCAGTATAACTCCCTCCTTTGAGAATGGATTGGCTGAAATGTTAGTGTGAGAAAGAAACTGTACAGAGCAGATGTGTGGTGGGGATGTTGGATGTTAAAGGCCCATCGCATGTTTGGCCCTGAGCCCAATGTCACACACACTGCTTCCTGACAACAGCCATGCCATGGTGATGTTTACATTAACCCGGCTCTACTCTCCTTCACTATCCAACACTCACACCACAGGGCCTGTAAACTCTCATGGTGGAAATTTACCACGGGAGCATGTGTGTGTGTGTGTATGTGTGGGAAAAAAAAATGAATGAGTATATATACTCCTGTTGGCTTTTATTGATAACAAAGCAGATATCACACACATGTACACACACACACCCACACACTCCTCTGACTTCCTGCAGAGATGCCTGTTCCACATATTCATTCATTAAATTCACACCCAGCACTCTGGTGTGTATTGTGTTACTGCATCCTCTCATTCAGTAAAGCAGGTACTCACACATGCACACACGCACGCACACACACACACACTCCTCTGCACTTATGAGTTCACTGTACATTTAAACATGCCCTCCCATTTAGTCCACGCAGACACAGCTGTGATCTGGCACTCAGGGACCACTGGCCTGTTTTATTTGATGTGATTTGACAGCTGGACAGTTAGAAGAGGAGGGGGACAGGGTGGAAAGCGAAGGAGAGTGGGCGGAATACAGTTTGAGGAGAGACGAAGGATAAGGAGAGGGATAAGTCACGGAGCTAGGACTGGTGGGAGGAGAGGAGACAAGGGGAGAGGAGGAGGATCTAAATGTTGAGCCTTGAGGGGGGGAGACGGGAGGGCTTCGCCTCTGATGAGGGGCACGTCCTCGCGGGCGCAGGCCCATTTTTTATTTCTAAAAGTAAACTTGCAGCCTGCAGGGGTCTGGGGGGTTATGGGAAAGGAGGAAACAGTGATGCTAATCAGACTGTTGCACACTTCCCCCTCCAACAATAAAACAAAACAAGAGTGGAAACACGGAAAAGCGACAGACAACTGGGGAGGAATGGGCTACACTGTGGCCATAGACCTAGATTTGAACTGCAGAGTGTAATTATCTTTCTGAAGCGAGTGGTATTAGTCAATAAACAAAGGAAAGAGGGAATGTGTTCTGCTATAATGCATATTTGTAGTGTGTGAAGTATTTTTAGACATCTGAAAGATGTAATTTTCCACATTAAACTTCTGGGAAGTGGTTTCATTGTGTATTGAAATTGGTCATTTACAAGTAGAGTCACTCTGGAATTTCCACTCCAGAAGTCCAAGTTCTCGTTCACTGGACTGAGGAATAATTCCTGCTAAATCTCTGTTCCTGAGCACTTAATTGTGAAGTTTTTCAGAATTAGTATTTTTCCTCTCTTAAAACTATCAGCAACTAAAGACACACCTTTTACTTTCCTGTTAGCGTCAACACAGACCCTCTGCACTACGGCTTCAGCCAAACACCAAAATTTCAAGCTTCCCTTTCCTTAAGTTCTTCAAGTTTTACTTCTAGGAAGTGTTCGTGTGGTAATTTCCTCTTGATAGCGCAGTGACTAATTACAAACCACTTCAGTTGGAGAACACACAGTTCTCAAACATATGCAATCACTGAGTGGTGATGATGCAACAGATGCCAACTCATCAGGAAAGGTGGTGCTTTAATGAATCCTGAGAGGGACCTCCTATTGTTTTAATGTTTATATCACAAGCCGAGCAATATCCACAGACTGTTAACTACAATGAGTGTACACACTTATGGGAACAGTGAACACGTCTTACTGTGTCCCGTAATGTGTGTTCATAGTTGAACAGAGTCCATAGATAACCAAAGGTTAATTCTTTATTTTTTTTTTTACAGAGAATAGAGTGTTGATAGCATATTTATCAAGATGAAACTAGCAGCAGCTGCTTTTTTTTTTTCCTCAGGCATATTAATTTTTTAGCTGACTTTATTTTTTGAGTGTTTTATTCTTCTAAAAAAACATCCATGTATGCATTAAGAAATACATCTGAACTCTGGACGGATTTTTCCTTCAGCCCGGAGTGAGGCTTTATCTGAGAACATGGTGCTAACAGTGAAGAGGGAGGGCATGATGAGAGGAGGGAGGTCTGGGAGGCAAAGAGACTCAGAGGGGGGTGGGGATAATTGAATTATCTGCACAATGGAGTGATGGGGGGCACGTGGTGCCGCTAATGGAGGAAGAGATGTCCTTTTTAGCAAAGCTAATTGTTGAGAAAAGAGCTGAGCCTTTGTTCAGGGAGGCCCCACTACTTTCCCAGTGCACTTACATGCACACAACTGGGTAGAGTGCACACACACAAGACATGTGCACTCGCTGACACTGCTGACATATACATGGGCATGCACACATACTGTAGATACACTCATGCAAGAGATTTTGGAATGTGTGGAGTATGAGAAAGATGTACATGTAAAGACATATGCACACACACTCACACAGACAGACACACACACACAGGGATACGCCACTCCTGTCCCAGCCAACCTTCTGATCTCAGCAGGAGTGCATCCAGCCTGTGGCACCATCAGACAGCAACCACCGCAGATAGAGTTGAGACTAAGCCGCCAGACAGAGACCACAAGGACCCTACTGTTTTACTGTTTTACTGCCTGCTCTCTCTCTCTCTCTCTCTCTTTCTCTCTCTCTCTCTCTGTGCCCATCAACCATCTTTGTGTGTGTGCTTGAGTGTCTGTAAATGACTCTCTGAGTGTTCGCACTACATACCAAACTCATTAGGGCCGTATCCATTGTCTGAAATGTTCCATACTTTGATTTTCTTGTGTTTCAGAGTCGTCATTTCAGATTGAGTGTTTCCAAATGTGAAAGGAAGTATAGCATTGAAATGTAAATTCTCGGAGCAACCCAAACTCTTTTTTCTGACTGGCTGCGAGGGGAAGCAAGATGTCAAAGAAAATATCACTTGACAGCTGTACTGGCTGCTCTAAATTGTATAACCTTTCAGTTAACTCTGTGAAAAGTAGCAGGTGCAACGGTTACATCTCAGGATTATAGACATACGCACAACACAGATGTGCCAGTGAGAGACTGACAGTGAGCAGGGAGAGCAGTGAGAAGAGAAAAAGCTGCTCTGGGTCGAGGTTGCATACTCAAAGGGAAGCAAGTGAAGCCAGCTAACTGTCAAAACCATGGCAACAGCATTCGCCAGGTGAAGAAAAAGATCTAGATCTGAAATTTGTTTGATGTGTAACATGTGTCTTAAGTGTGCTGGTACAAACACTGGCGGCTTGTCTCGTGCAATGATTAACAATCCCTCTGTATGAATAGGAAAAGACAGAGTTTGTTTCACACAGCATTATTTTTTTTTTTCTTATTTACTCATATTGTAAAAAAAACTCTGACACAAGCATTTTATATAGTTGATAACAAGCTCTTCTAGATCTTTGTAGCAATAAACCACATGGTGCTTTATTGAATTCTTTTTAAAGGACTTTGTTTTTTCATGTTCAGAAATCTGTGTTTGTCTCCAGGGTCATTGTACAGCAGGCTTTTCAGGCAGATAAAATGTTCACTACTGTGATAAAGACATTAGTAACATCATGTCCTGGGTTTCAAGAACAGATTTATTCATGTTTCCCAGCAACAGGGATACAAAACAACAACGATTTATGTATTTATTTCTTTTTATTTTGTCAAACTGCTTGTTTATGCAGTTTTTTTGTTCACTCAATTAGTTCTCTTTGTTCATCAATCTGAAGGATTTGAATATGTTTTATACTACTTAAAAAATGGTAAAAAGTGGGGGATGCAGACAGGCAGAAACTCAAACTGAAACACGCTACAGTGACGCCAGCCCAGATATTAGTCAGCAACACCATTAAACCCCTAATGGCTGCCCTCAGGCACAAAAGGACCCGGGATGTCCTTTTAAGAACAGATTTGAGGGAGTTCATTAATGGAAAACAAAGAGATGCAGTCAGAGAGGCTAACTGACTGATTGACTGAATGACTGTCTGACTGACTGACTGGGATACAGTGAGAGGTGCTTGTTCCCCCGTTTCATTCTTGTCTCCCATCACCCCCCCCCCCCCCATCTACTTCACCCCCTAGTGACGCAGCTCCTCTCACCACAGAACCCACCAGCACTCTTTCCAGATGAGGCTCCTATCAGGGCCAATGAAACCTGATCCAGGCCTGCTAATGGAGCCAGAGAAGTACCACCGGTTTAAAAAATCCATGTGTGATCAATATCCCTGGCTCCCCTGCCTCCGTACACACATGTACACAGTAGATGCAGAAGTATCATATTGACATGCGTCGTAGGTTGTGCCTCATGATTCTGTCTAACGAGGTTGCTCATGATGAGGTTGAATATGTGGAAAAGCAGAGCTGATTCCTTAAAGATCTTGATGTTGTTCTAAGTGCAGCCAATTTTGTCTCTATTGTTAAAAGTGCTTCGGTCCTTGGAACTTGAATGAGAAATACTATTATAATTTGTTATTACCTTTCAGTTATCATGGGAGATGTTTTGTAATGGTAGTGGTTTTCTCACAGTGGAGCCTTACTGCGGCTTAAGAAAGCTAATCTGTGTCTCGTCTTTGTTCTTCTAAATTCCTGAATCAATTTCAATTAAGTCATTTGTGATATCTCTTGATAATCAAAGATAAAAAATGTATTAGTCTCAAAAAGGGAGGAAAAAATCTGGAATTATTTTTTTCATTTCTAGTAGGGGAGAGTGGGGTAAGTTGAGCCACCCCTTGTTGCTTGGAAATGGTAAAAGAAATTGATCATGTGACCAAATATTTAGGAGATAGGCATCAATTCATAGAGCCTGTGAAGGTTAGAAGCACATGGGTGAAAGGGTTAGACATTTGTTTCCAAAAAAAACATTTTTCACTCTTGAAAGTGAATTTAGTCTGTCATAAGTTTTATTAGAATTGTGTTCAGACCAAACAAGATCATTTTAAATTTGTTTTATAAAATCAATTGTGGTATCTATGAGCTATGACATTAGGTCAAAAACCTAGAATAAGAGTCCACCATTTTGATTTAGAGGACTAATAAAGTCATAATAGTAGTTCTGGGGTAAGTTGAGTCAGTGGCTCAGCTGAGAAAGTGAAGGAGTCTGATGAGAGGATCAGAGTTTCAGTTCAGATTGTTGAAATGTGTTACTTTTTCTTTTCAAAAATACAGCTGTGAATGTTCTGAATCACTTGAAGACATTCTCATGTTAAAATGTTTTTTAGCAGTTTTATGCAATAATAATAATAAGATTTATTTTATAAGTTGAATAGTGTATAATAGATAAAAATACACATGAATGTGAAGCAGTGACTGTTATTTAGGGAGAGAAAAGGTGAGGGAGGGCTGGAGTGGAGAGTGGGCTGGGGTAGTAGGGATACAGCTCAACTTACCCTGCTCCTATGGTCAACTTACCCCATACATGGGGTAAGTTGACCATAGAAGACCACTTTTTTGTCATGCTAAATTATCAAGACAGTTATGTTTACACTCATTCTGATGAGTTGCAGGAATGCACAACATCTTGAAATATATGCAGATACACTAGTTAGAGACAAAACTATGATCGCCTTGATGTAGTGATCAGAAATATGAAAAATGGCTCATCTTACCCCACTCTCTCCTAATGAAGAAAGTTTGATTGTTTTTAGTGTCAAGTTCAAAATACTGCACCTATACATGCAAACGCAGCTGGATAGAGGGGAAAAAAAAACATGGTTGTTTTTTTATTGATCAGGACAAGGTGAACAGGAAATACTCTGAGGTGTTTATGAGGGTGAGGGACAAGTTATGAGGAAGCCTGGACCTGCAGAAAATAGGACACAGACAAGCCAGACTCCCCTTAGTTTGTGGTCAAGTACAAGACAGTTTTTTTCACATCCTTATTAGTCACGAAAATGTTGCAGTGTGACAACCATATTGTAGTCTATGTGTGCTTGTAATACATAACAGTTCCTAGAGGGGCTTATTAATGTAGGTATATGGGCCGTGTCATTATTTGTCATAAATAATAGCTGGTGATGAATTTTGTGTTTGTTGTGGTGTTTGAGCAGCTACAAATGTGGTTTACTTTACAACAGTTCTTTCTCATGCTGCTCATCAGCTCTCATGTCTCTGGAGTCTTTCTCATCCTCATGAAACGCCAGCAATTTGCGGGAACATGTGGACTCCTAACTACGTCTGATGACGCGCAGGGGCCTCGGTAGTCTTCAAGTAGGGGTAGTTTCTCACAGAGACATGAGGAGGAGGTAGTGTGTGTCCTTGTTTGTGTGTGTGTGTGTGTGTGTGTGTGTTGGGAGAGCGGGGGTATTGTAATTGAATTGTGAATCAACTGGCAAGTCAGCCCCAAAACACCGCCCCCTTCAGCTGTCGTCGCTCCGGCTCTGTGAATGCAACGCCCATAGCCAGAGAATGAGGGGAAGGAGTGAGTGAGTGTGAGAGGGAGTAAGAAAGAACGAGGAAAAGAGGGAGTGTGTGTACATGTACCCGGAGAAGAAGAAGAAGAAGAAGAGAGGGAAAGAGAGTGACAAGTTAAGGGTAAAAAAAAAGGAGCCGAATCGGTTTTTGGTGTGAGAGGAGAGGTAGGGGAAAAAAACAGCAAGTGTTAAAAGACCGGGCGCCAAAGGAGGAGAAGATTTTCGCTTATTTTGGTGTTTTTTGGAGCTGTTAGAATAAAACAAGGACGCGGCGTTTATTAAGTCACGCTGATCCGATGATCATGACGGCAGCTGTCGATATGAAACCGACGTTAACAATCATAAAGGCTGAAAAGATGGACGGTGAGTAATACAACTCTTCTGTGACAGCTAACACGCGACTTACATTACTCCTTAATGTTTCCTTGTAACGCAACCAGCCGGTGGCACATAACGTTGATGGTAACCTTAGTTGGATTTCTCGGTATTAAAAAAAGGACAGAACATCTTCAACGTGTCAGGACGATGTCGGTTGCACAATATTGGTCAACACGCAACATTTGAGAAATATGCAATCACGCCAGAGGCTCTATGTTTCCAGTGTGTTTTAACCGCTTCATACCCACTGAATGAATCACACTCATTATATCACTGTTGTAGAAACAAGGCTACCGTGGACTGATAATAGGAAAAAGTTGTCCACACATTTGTAGAGTTTGATCACTAATTAAATAATGGACTAATTAAAGATATCAGTCAAAGGGGTGAAATTTGACATGTTTACTGTTTAAGTAGTCACCAATATTGCTATTTTACTTATCTCAATCACTCCAGCCAGCTAAGTTTTGTCACATATATTGTGAATTTGTGTTGCTCAGATGGACTATTTCTGAGTCTGGTAGTTTTGATGCACTTTGATCCATCCTTTCTCATGTGAGTACCTATTCCTGACCCCATATAACAGAGCACTTTCTGCCCAGCCAGCATGGGGGACAGGCCATACTGCCTAATCACTCCCCTCCGCACCAACTCCACAGTCTCCCTCCCTTCTCCTCTTCTCTCCCTCTAATGCAGCGGTTGAATGTGAGTTTCCAGAGGGAAGGAGAGGCAGACTGAGGTGATGAATCTGCATTGCTGAGGCTTGCCTCTCTGACCCTGCTGCCTGGAACACTTGCTGGATTGCTCCAGGGATAGTTGAGGACATGAAGAGGAAAGCCCACGATTGTCAGCTGTGATTGTATTTGGCTTTAAACCTTTTGTGTGGTTTCACTTCTCGTTTTCACTGAGAGGTCTTACACATGGTGGCATGTTTGGATAATTTGCATTAAGCAGCTTTACATGAACTAATCCCCTGTGCTTTTGTAGCTCAGGTGGCATTAAGCCTGTTAATAGAGTAGCAAGCAGCATTCAAGCATTGTGGAAATTTGATACTAATTGCTCGTGTTGACCCACTAAGGGGCTGTGACTCACCACAGTAACCACCTTCTCTTCATTGTCAGTACCTGCAGAGCAAAATTCACACATGCACTCTCGCAAACTCAAACACAAAGCGCTGACAGCTGCAGTTAAGTTGCCAAAGCGTAGTGCTATCTTGCAAAACCATTTCGCAACGCTCCCTCCTCCTTACACTTACTTGGGTGCACTCGGGTCAAGCTGAGGCTGCCATGGAGTAGCTCACAACATCACACAAACATACCCTTTCTTTATGTGTCTCTCACACAGAGACATGCAGTGTTTTGTCCACTTCTGCATATTACCATGCTTTCATGATAATTGCTCCAAAACGTTCAAGGATGTTCTGATAGGCCACAACCGTTAAATGCATGCTTAAATGCATATAATGGACAACGACAGATTCTACGCTTGCAACTTGTAGGGAGAGACGCATGTTCAGTACAAAGTTAGAATATATTTTCTGATGTTTTGCATATCCGAAGAGTCACCTCTGAGCTATATATGGCATTGTGGAAACAGATGCTCTCCTTTATTCCTCTCCACCTTAACACCTGCATGCACACACTTTACATACATGCACGCCCCAGTAACAAGCACAAGTGGCTTCCACCCTACCTTACTATAGTGTTTGTTTTGCTTTACAAGAGGAGTGCAGCTGATGTCATCTTACCCAAGGCTCGTCTTCCCTCCTTTCAGCGGAGGTAATTCTTCTTAAAGCGCTCACTCACTGCCAGGGCCAGAGGTGCACCCAAACAAGGCGCCAAATGATCTACAAAGCTTTTCTACTTTTGTTCAGTGTCTGTAGTCAAACCCTGACAAAGCACACTCATTTCACTGGAACTCAGATCATGGTAGCTTATTATTGAAGGTGTCATCTAACCATGACAAAACTGTCAGCTCTACTGAGACGTGAAAGATAGGATTACCAAAGAAGAGGTGTTGAGTTCATTGTGAAAGTACAGGTACCTTAAGTTTCCTCTTCTCTTGTCTGTTGTAAGTTTTGTTTTCATGGGTATTTTTGTAAAGACAGCTCTGTAAAAATTCAAGACAGCTGTTAATTATTTACAATACATGAAGTTATGAGTTTTTAACTTGAGTGAGTTGTCCCTTTTTTAATGCTCCTTCTCTCTTTTCGTCAGGCCTGGAGGTCAGGGTTCAGTGACTGACAGGAATGTTTTTTGAGCATGCCCTGCTGGGTGGCATGCATGGAGGCATAGATGGAGCTCGAGTGGGAGGCTGACTTTTATCTGATCAAAACGCTGATGTTTGTTATAACTGGCAGGCCTGATGCTTTTGCTGAGAGCCCTTATAAGGCCTCTCGTTCCACGCCCGTCACATACAGAATGCACACAAGCACACACAGGCAACCGCCATACAAAACGCTCTGAAAAAGGTTTTGCTGACTTTCTTTTCCAAGGTGCCTCCCATGTTGGGATGGTGTGGGGAGTTTTTTAGCTGCTATTAGAACAGAGGGTGTTACATAAGCCTCAGGTTTTTGCTTCGGTGTGTTTGTGTCAGCACTCCTTCAGTAGCGCACTGTAATATATGCCAATGTTTGAGTGTGCGTGGCTGCCTGGCAGCTGTGCAAACACTGTTTGGGTGATCCAGGCTTCTCTTGATGTGGTCTGTCAATGAATCGGGCCAAACAGAGCACAGAGACCCAGTCTTTTTTTTTTTTTTTCATCTGTGTCAAGCTAAAAGGTGGCGTGGTTTGCCAGATCAAACTTGATTAGTCAGTCTACTTGTAAGAGCATCATCCATCTGCTGTGAGGTAGTGTTATTGACCAGGACATGTCTGTGCCTAGAGGGCAACAGATAGCAGCTTCCTCAATGAACCTCCTTGTCCTTGTCATACTTATCAATGGACTCGGTGGATTCTAGTGAAGTGTGAAGAGTTTCCACAGTGACCTTGTCTTTCTTTTTATGAGCTGCTCATTGATGTCACTGTGTCAGATCAGATAGGTTACCACCACCCCACTTGTTTATTGTGCGTATTACAGTCATTGATCCGTCATTCATTCAGCTTTTCCTCTGCTAGGTTGGCCATATAAACATAAAACATATTACTGCGTGGGTCCTATCTTAACACTTCCCTGGTGACTACACGCCTTAATCTTTGCTTACAAAGCTTAGTCATGAAGTAAGGCGTGTTAGAGCAGTGAGCATATGGTGAGGACAAGTGGACTGAAAAGTGGAATGAGTTCGCAGATAGTGGTTGAATGTATGCCAATGTACAGTTGTCATCATGGCAGTAAATGATTAGTGAAATCCACCCCACGAGGATTAGAGTGCTTCTTACTTCAGTCAGTCATCTCATATTACTAACACTGAAAAGTTAATAACCAAAACAACTGAATAACTTGTTCCTAGAGCTTGGCAAAGAGAGTATCAACAAGCTTTTTGTAAGACCAAACTCTTCAATCACCCACCCACTCACTCTATTCCTTCTCCAGAATTCCTCCCCCTCCTTTCCCTTTCTTCCTCTGTTTTCAATGTCGTTCTGCTGGCCACATGGGTTTCTCTCACAACTTCTTGATGTGGTGTATGGTGAGTTCCTGGTGAGTGCACTCCGTCCCATCCCCAGTCATTCCCTGCGTGTAATCCCTGAGTCACGCCAGTAGACGCCTGCTGCACCACACGCCACTGGCTGTCAGACTGAGCGTCTGCTTGGCTCGCTTACAGGTTTTTAGCTTAACGCACATATCCCGCGTTCTTTACCATACCAGTCTGCCTGTGAACTCTAACTGGCCTGAAGTGGCCCTAAAACAGCTCCACATCTACCCACGCATATCAACACTGTCTTGAGTGCTTCAAAACGTTTTTTTTAGTCCACTTGGTAAGTTGCTGTTTCTGTTTTATGGCTTCACATTTAGGAGCCATGTTTCCCATAATGGAATGGAAACTGGGCTAACTTAGAAACATGCCTGGTTTAGGTATCTGTCCACCGTGCTCAAAGCCAGTGTGTCTGTCCACAACAAGGCCATGCTGCTCTTTCAGTGTTCGTCCCAGAGTTTATTCCTATGTTCCCCCTGTTGTCTCTTTTTAGTACACATCACCTGAACGCAGGTGAACAAAAAGGCCAGAGCTACAGATTGGATGTATAATAAACTAGACTTTTATTACCAGAGAAGCAGGATTTGTTGTGTTTACAGGCTGTTTCTAGAGTTCAGCTGAGTGCAAAAGCAGCCAAATTCCTATGTATTAGTTGAACTTACTCTGGCACCCTAAATTATGTTGCATTGGTAATGAAGAGGGTTTGGCTTGTCATTAATGCTCATAGAAGTCACATTTTGCTCATGGAAAAATGTTTGTTTTATGTCGCCTCATGATTGCAGTGATAACATTTGAGTCAGTGAGAAGAAATTCTTCACGATATGGTCATTACTTTCATCATGACCAGTCACATTGTCAGATAGAGCCGCACGGTATCCTCTGAAGTCCAGTCATTCTGGATGAAATGAGTCACACTGTATGCATGCGTGTGTTTGTGTGTGTGCGCTTGTGAATGAGCGACAGAAACAGAGCAGGGAAAAGAGAAGCAAAGGCAAGCATGGGTTTACACAACTAAGATGATAAACGCCTATTTAGAATCAGATCTATCTCTGATTGCAAAACGGTGAGCTGTAAGTTTCCAGTGAGCAAACTTTGCTGTACAACTTTGAATCAGCAGAGTCAGCCACAACCAAGGTGTTTCAAATCATTAAGGAACAAGAAAGGAAAAAGAAAACACAGATTTCTGGAGTAAAATAAAGTAAAAAGAGACTTGCCCAGATGTTTGATGTCTTACACTTGCATTAGCTGTGGAGCACTGAGCTGAAAATAGAAGGAAGATTCATCATTTTGAGCTGGAACCATTTCGCCACTTAGACCACAAGTCATTTTTTGGTCACATTAGAGGAAAGCAAGAAAGCTGTGAGAAGCACATTAGTGATTGTAAAACAGAGGTGGAATGCGAGGCATGCAACATGAAAACACTTCGGTCTGGGGGGAATTTATTTATCAAGTATCCATCTGTCGCCCATAGCTTGCCTTCAAACAAGCAACAAGCCCAAATATACGTGTGATGTATAATTAGTACCAGCCACTGCGACATTTAAACGGGCTCGTATTGTAGAAAAGAGCAGTCGGGTAGCAAACAATCCTAAAAAATGTTTGTGAATGTATGGCTGTGTAACATCCCGCAGAATTTACACTTGTATCAGGAACCTGGTCCTGGAATGTATGAGTTTGGATAAAAATTGGGGGCAGGCACCGTGTTTTGTGGAAAAAATGCAACACAGAGAGTAAACTGTTTGTCAGATATGTCGTGTGTTTGGTTTAACACCTAAACAGTTCCCCCAGAGCATCCCCTGTCTGTTTACAACACGGAGCCTGGGAAGGCAGCTAGCTTGGGTAGAGCTAGGCTAACACCATCTGCAGCCTTTAGTACAGTGTGTGTACATCAGTTCCCTTTTTTCTTATCACTATGTCTAACACCTCAAGGTAAAAAAAAAGACATTCAAATCGATACAGACCAAAGATGTTTTACACAAAAGGAAAGATCTGTACATTTCATAATATTTCTCATATTGCGTATGCACAGTTTTTAGTGCATACTGGATTTGAGTATTTTTCCAATGTTGTGTGAGGCTTTTCAGAGTAATGGAGAACTAAAATGTTGTGCAATGAGCTGTTTTGAGACGTACATCACTGTTTCTCAACCTTTTAATACTTTAGGCGCGCCCCAAACCCGGCCTTTTCACACTGTTAAAGATCACACAGCAAGAAAGCATATAGGCAGTTAAATCAGCAACGTGTAGCTGAACCCTGCTGACGGTGCTTCATCTCTGCTTTTCTCCTTTTTTATTCAGAGAATTTCTTTTTTTAATTTTTTAAGCAAAATATATGCTACAGCAACTGTTGTTGATCGTGAGTATCATTTCAGAGACAGAGGTAATGTCATACAGAGCTCTGAGACTTTGGCACAAACAGAAGACTTAATGCACTTTCACATCATAAGCTAATATGATTTCAGAGATGGATGGAATGGGAGAAAGAAAGACAGCAAGGCAGCTAAAGGGTATCAGACCCACTTATTGCCTGCTTCAGTAGCCGGTATGTCTGTGGTGGTGATGATCTGGACAACTCTTGTTTCATGTGCAAAGACAGATGTCAGCAGCAGTGGCCTCGTCTCATATGGCTGCTTAACATCACCACAGGCTTGTGCTGGGAGAGGGCAGCCAGAAGCCAGCGGTGGAGACCTAAGAATAAAGCCAATGTTTCAGCACTGTCACTTGTGATTGTGGGATACTCCTCGTTGAGTATTGTATTTCTTCTGGTTAACACTGTCCCTCGCCGGGGCCGGTTTTTGTCTTGGTCTAGCTTCTTCGTTTTGCCTCAAAGCAAAGCCTCCACGTCTATTCCTGTTCTTTGGCACAGAGACTGAAATCTAAATATTGAGCGGCTGGTTGAACAAGCAGCCCTCTCAAAACCAGACTGCCACCCAGTCCTCCTCCTCTTGCTGCTGCACAGCAGTCCGCAGCCACCACTTTATCATCGTGGCACTGAATGGCCCCCTTCATGACGATGGGGTTTATGACCCTGCGTTCTCAGACCAGGGGTCCAGATACAGATTTCCTTCAAAGGCTCTCTCAGATACCACTGTCACCTTTGGTCAGACTGGCCTGCCTTAAAGAGATGATTATAAGCCTTTGGTGAGATGCCAAGACCCTCTCTCTTTTTCCCTATACTATGACCCTGCTGGTATACCTGTTTGCATGTTGGCATATTCAGGAGGGCTATGAGGCTTTAACGGTGGTTCTTAAATGTTTGACCCTCATCTGAACCCACAGCTCACCTCACTTCCCTCAGGAAATGGCAACTTAGCCACAGGAAATTGACTGTTTTGCTATTTTTTTAAAGCCCCACCATACATTCACCAACACTGGAGCTGAGTGGAGGGGGCATAAATTAGCACTTTGAGCAACTTTGATTTGGATAAAAGGCTTTTTGCCCCTGAAGTTTTTCTCTTCTATAGAGCCCAGTTTTAAGCAGCCTTCCATATGCCAGCCTGTTTTATGCAGGAAACTCTTTTTTTTCCTCACACCAACACACACCCACTCATTGGATCAACACTATAGGGCTATTTATAGCTCAATCACATGATAAAAAGCATATTGTCCCTCATTTGTTGGGTCTGGTTGCATGCTCTGCCTGTATCATTGCATCATTCTGAGTGGAGGCAGCAGTTCAGGCTTTATGAATGAACTGACTCTCCGCCAGAGGCTGGGAGATGGCACTGATCCCACTGTGATGTCACTCCAGAGACGAGGCGAAGAGAGAGGGAGCTTTATGAGACCTCCCATTCACTCTCTTCTACCCCCTCACCTCCCCACCCCCCACCAGTTCTCTTGTCCAGTTATGGGCTCATATTACAAGCTGGTGACTCATTCCCTCACCCCTCACCCACGCATGATGCTCCTTTGCTATCTCCCCCGGCCCTACCCTACCCTGCCCTGCCTATCCCTGCCTGTTCCAGACCCTTAGACTTTGGACACAGTCGCAAAAATACCCATTTCACGCCCACGCTCTGTCGCACAACCGAAGTAAGCTGCTAATTTTCTTCATGTGTGTATATTTTTGTATATGTGTGTCAGTTTAACAACCTTAGGTACTAAACAGACCCTCAGTTTAAAGTCTGGTTGTGGCTTGTAAAGGCGGGTGAAATATCACGCTCAGCCTGTCCATTATCCATATCATGTAAAGGGGAGTGGCTAATCAATACATTTTACTGTGCATCCAATCCTGCCTCATCAGCAATTCTTACAATTAACAGACTTATGTCTTTGATTTCATCAGAAAAAAATGTGTCATCTCATACTCTCGCTGCGATCTTTTTACTCTGCTTCTTGTTGGTGAAATGTGAACGGCATAATGTTGCTTGTGATTTACACCCACTCCCACATTTCATGAGCTAAGTGGCTGGGACTCATTTTGCGGACAGACCCACATCATCTAATGTGGAAAGTGATGACTTGTGGATGCTTTAACTCTCAGTACATACTGACCATTCTGTATCTAATGGGACTCGCAGGCATTGAAATCCTATCAGGACTTCATCATTTACTAGAGATTGTCTAGATCCAAGCTCGCCTCTCACACTAATGGATGCACACTGTACATTAGCGCTGCCACAGACAACTTTTATACGGATCATTCACTATGGAGACAGATCTCTTATTATTGCACTTTTAGTCTTGTGTACTCCTTTTCCTCCGCTTGTTATTCTATTGGAAAAAATAACATTAGTTAAAGGAGCTTTTCTTTCATCCAACAGTTCAAACATAAGATTCATTTTTTTTCTGTCTTTAATTGCTCTGAAAATACAGAAAATTCCACTTTAAACTTGTTTTATGAAGGAAAAAAAAGGAGTAATTTCAAGCAAAAACAAAAGAAATCACAAGAATTGCAGCTGAGATTGTAATTTGCCCCGTCATCATGGTTCACATTTTTCTTCAGTGAGAGTTCCTGATGGTCGCTCTCACGCACGATGGTGTTGGGTGTCTTTGATGAAGAATTTAGAGCTCAAGTTGTTTCCAGCCTGTGTGGGCAAATAGAGGCACGGGGCAGGGTTGATAAAAGCGATGGAGAGGGAGAGGGTGGAAACGGTTCGAAAGTGCAGACAAACCCAACATGATCCAGCTTAAATAAACTGTCACATTTGGCCTTTGTCTTTACTTCAAAGCGCAGACTGTCTGAGCCCCAGTCGCATCTCAGTTTGCAGCCGTAGCAGCATGAAAGTTTTTTTTTTTTTTGCACTCTTAACACATCTTAGATTAAGCCAAGAAGAGGCCTCAACTTCTATGTTCGGGTCTTATTTTTATTGTTAAAGTGCACTGCTCAAAGTTGCATCGAAGAAAGTTTAACTGAGGTCTTCTGTGAGGCTGTTACAGTGTTTATTCTCTGACTCTTGGATCTTTCTTTTACTCCTGACTAGAATGAATTAGTCTTTTTTCTCTCCAGAGTAACACAGAGCAATATATTATTACATGTCTAATTGAATCACACGAAGAGCAAAGAGCTCTTGTCTGTCCTCTGTCTCTGGTCTGTTGCACGGTTTCTTTCTTTAGAGAGGGAAAAAAAGAGGGGAAAAAATAGCCAAAGACTGAAGAAAGAAACTTGGGAGGCCTAATTTTAAAAGCAGACAGACAGACATTGGTTACATGGGCGAAGGAGGGACAGCTGCTGTGCATTCCAGGCGAGGTCGAGACGTCAGCGAGTGGTGAAAACAAGCATGAACTGTATGTTGCCCCAGTGTACCGCCGGCAGATAAAACCACCAGCCAGTGGAGATGCCAGAACATCTGGGTTCAACCAATCGTTGTGTTGTAAGAGGAGTGACACAATTTTGCTTAATCTCAAATCTGCCCTCAAACTACGCCTCTTGTGCCTTTTTTAACCACTTTAATCGGTGTACAAATTAGATAGAATGGAGAACCATGCTGTAAAATCACAGGCCTGATTGAGCCCTTGATTTAATACGGACCTCCATATGCTTAAGTACCAAGATGCCCTGGCACACAAAGTTTTCTTCTTGCAAGTTTCCCCCTCCCCAAGACTAGAAACTCTTCAGTGTGAAACTCTCAAGGATCATCATGATATATAATTGTCTTTGTTGTGTAAATGAGTGGGCAGTTTCCACATTGAATGATTAATCAGGACACTGTGAAGCCTATTTACAAGTCATTTTTGAGAATTGGACCATTAGTTTTTAGCAGCCTTTTCTTGTGTTGCCTAGGGGTCTTTTCCCCTCTCCCCTCATCATCTCCGTGCTCTACCCCTTTATCCCATACTTCAGCAGCCTGGTCAATCTAATTAGATGAGTGCGAGTCATCAGGCACTGTTTAAAGCCATCAAAGGGAGCTCTGTTCAACACTGGGTGCCCACTGGCTGTGAGCAAAGAACAGTAGGCCCACTGTGGGACTGAGACCCTCAAGACAGCCCACCCCTAACTCCCCAAGCCACATGCCAGCAAGTAAGGTGACATCATCACCCCATTCTTTGACCCTTGACCTCTCAGAATGTTTGACCCCATGCTAAGTGAGGTGACAGTAGACCCACTGTGTCAGGGCAACATGGTAGAAGTGCCAGCAAGGGTCATGGTGTCGCTGATTGGCACCAGCGATACTCAACCAACCATGATGTGCTTTTCAGAGAGAGGCTTTGGTTTTTTCATGCTTGGCGACAAACTTATATCTTTTTTGTTGCGAGTGGTATTTGCTTTGAATTCCATTTGAATTGAAATTTGAGTAAAAAAGTAATAAAAAGAGATGTTCAAACTCAGCATGCACCAAATTCTGCAGCTGTTTTATATGCTACTCAGCATCTGTGTTTCAATATGCAAACATGTTGCACATGCAGTCCTGCAGCATGTTTACAGCAGCTCAGATCACACTGTGTGACATCTCTGGTTTAAATAGATTGGCTCTGATTCGGACACAGTGCCTGTCTAGACAGGATGTAATTGTTGAGCCATGTTGTTGATCACGGTCAGATACAACTGTGTTGGCTTGTTTGTGTGTGAGTACACGTGCGTGTCTATGTGAAGATCTATCTGAACGACACAGCCTCTCTTACCTGCTGTTTCTTTGTCTCTGTTTAATTTCCATCCTGTGTGCCTTATCAGAACGAAAAATGATACAGGATGCAGAATTGTAACGTGGGTTGTCAACAGTGATAATCGGAGTACATAACACCACCATGTTACTGATTTGACCTGAATGAAATAGAAATGGACATAATTCAAAACAACATCATAATCAATGTTCTCTGTGATTTGTATTTGTCAGATCCAGAGTGTGGAGATGTCCCTTTGCTAACTCCGGGGAGTAAAGAGATGATGTCCCAGGCTCTGAAGGCCACCTTCAGTGGCTTTACAAAGGAACAGCAGCGGCTGGGTATTCCCAAAGGTAAAACCAACTGCATCTTGTACTTTTGGCAGTCTCTTCTCACATTCTTATCTGGGAAATGACATTTTGAAAGTGAAAGGAAGTCCCGAAACCCCCCGTAACATGTGACATGTCATGGGATCCCCTCACGTCCCGGCCTGCTTTGGAGTCAGAGAGTTCATCTTTGAAAAAGGATTCACTGAAAACAGGAGACACCCAGTTATTCCAGAAATGGCCATACATTACATACATTTCAGTCAGTCAGAGCCGACTGACTAACTATGTAGACGCAGAGACAGACAGCACAATAATGACTTAGGAGGCCAACCACAGAGTCTCTTTATGTTGTTAAGAAAACTGCATTACATTATAATCATACTTCATCTGCAAACTATGGTCCTGACTTGTTATTACCAATGCTCTTTACACTCACTGCTGTTTTCTTTTCTCTTTTTGTCTGACTTGATTTGAGTAGATATAATTACAGAGGAGAGGGAGTAACAATATAACCAAAAATGTGAAGTTTCTTACCGTGAAAACAGAGCATAATATAGATTGAGCAGCAGGTCAAAGAGTCAGAAACAGAGAGAATGTATTCTGCAGTGTCACGTCAACAGTTAATGATGTCTTATCCTGATGTTTTCAGATCCCAGACAGTGGACAGAAAACAATGTGGCGGAGTGGCTAACGTGGACAGTTAATGAGTTCAGTCTGAAGAATGTTGACTTTGATAAATTCTGCATGAACGGAGCCGACCTGTGTGCGATGGGGAAGGAGCGCTTCCTGGACTTAGCACCTGACTTTGTGGGTGACATCCTTTGGGAACATTTAGAAATGCTCCAGAAAGGTAAAGTCCTTTTCGTGAAGACAAGTGAAAATTTACTGATTAACCAAACGATGAGAGACTAGAAGCTTTCATGTTTTCTATCTGAGAAAAACCTCACTTAAAAATAGGACCCTGTTGACACTTGCTATAGTAACACGAGCCAAACAGGAAGACACAATTTAGCCTAGGCCATTAATTTTTGATCACGCTGGCTGCAGTTACGTGATACATGAAATCAATGGCGGGGTCACTGACGCTTGTTCTCTATCTATTTTTCATGAAGAGGATACAAAGCATTACCCCATCAATGGACTGACCTCCAACTTCCAGGAATCACGTTATACCTCAGACTACTTTGTCAGTAAGTACTCATCGCACTCACAGACCATCATTCTGAGTAATGGCATCGAGCCTGTGCCTAAAATATGAATGGATATGATACTAGAGAAGTGGTTCACTGCTGCATTATTTGAATTATTATATGAATATATCACCTCACATTTTATTTAAAAAAATATCTTAGGATTTAAATCCAGGAAAACAGGATATATTTACAACATTTTTGACAAATATGGGGGAAACAATGTTGAATAAAGTTCAAACTTTTTTCTGCAGAAGCTCAGGATAATTCGAATGTTTATACAATTACCGCAACAAGATAACTGTATTTAAGTCTACAGTATTCTTGCATTTAATGTACAAGATTTTAGGTGTGGATTTTGTCACAGTAAACTGTCATCTTTTTGACAGCAGCTCAACACAGGAGGGATAATGACTCCACTCCTAAAATTGATCCCCCTCTTCTGCTCTGCTCTCTATCTCCTCTTGTTTCGACCTTCATATCTCCAGGCTATGGTGTTGAGCATGCTCAATGTGTTCCCCCTTCTGAATACTCAGAGCCCGGCTTCATCACAGAGTCATACCAGACACTTCATCCCATCAGCTCAGAGGAATTGCTGACGCTCAAGTATGAGAGTGAATACCCCGCTATCATCCTACGGGACACGCCCCTCAACCCGCTGCATGGGGACTACTTTCCAGTCAAGCAAGAAGTGGTGTCCCCCGACAATATGTGCGTGGGACGCCTCAGCAGAGGTGAGGGAATACAGACGAAACAATAGAAATACTTAGCAGGGGTTTAAGCACTGTGTAGCTGTAGTTTCGGGGAGTATTTTAGAGACGAACATGCAGCGTTTCCATTGCAATCAACTGTTCGTTTTGATTGAGAGATTTAGAAATGTGGCACATTTTGTATGCGGGTGTTAATACATAGAAATGGTGTCTTCTTGGGTGTCTGCATGTGTTTGGTTGTGCTGAAGCAACCAGAATGTTGTCATGCCACATCAGTGTTCTTGTATTGAAGGTGAAGAAAAGCATGTCCCTATGGTTGGTTTGTGGTTCGAACAAACCCGTCTCATACACTCCTGACAGGGTTGGAAAAAAAAAAAAAACGCAAACCTTATTGTTTTTGTCAGAATGAAACACGAACCAAAGCCACAGTGTGTTCTCTTGCTGCCTGTTCTTTATGTAAAACAGTATAAGTGGTGTAACCTTTCAAGACTTTTTTTTTTTTTTCCTTTCCTCGACTCAGCCTTCTGTGTAAAGAGATAGAGGTGTCATCCTCAGTTAGCAAGCGTGGGTTTTCTCATGAAACGGTTTGCTTTTCTGCACACACAGGCTTGTTTTCTCCCCCAGTGATAGTTTACAAAGGAATTAGCAGCATAGTTTACATTTGCTGCAATAAAGCTAGGATTTTCTTCTCACAAACCCGCAGCTGTATAAATGACTAGCGTGTACCATGATCACTATACAAGCCTCCTGCCAATGCTTAAAACATTTGCCTGCAAGGTATGAGGTTCATTCCCCGTGCATCACACATACCGCGCTTGTAAGCGTTGCATTGTGCTCTCCCAATGTGGGAAAGTATTTTTTTTTAAGAACAACTGCTTTCCACATGTGGCTTCAATTTCAGCACTCCAAGGTTTGACATCAATCGAGGCGCTGCATTATCTGTCATTTGATAATGACTCACCATTGAAAGACTCCTCTTATCTTTCCCAAGTTCAAAAATAGCAACAGAATTTGTGTGATTGTCTTCCATTTAAAATCAAATCCAAATGTCGGTTGTAAAAGGGAAATGAGGCGGGAAATGGAGAGAGATGTGGCACTGTGTGAAACAATACAGCTTTGTGAGAGAGAGAACATAATTGGTTGCAATGGAGTCATTTCCCTTCAGCATTGTAGCTCTTTTATAAAATGTCGTAAAAAACTTTAATTTAACACATTTTTTTTGCTTTTAAACATTCATTCAGTGTTTGTTTTTTAGAAGAGTGAAAAATATGAAAAACAATCGTAATACACAATATAAATCCAGGCAGTATTGATTCTCTTCAAGTGTAATATCTTCTCTCAGTGTTTTATTTCGGTTATAGTTTGCTTGAATGTAACAGCATGTTGTCCTCTTTCTCTTGCCTTCTCTCCTTATTCTTCTCCACAGGTAAGCTCGGTGGTCAGGATTCATTTGAGAGCATTGAGAGCTTTGAGAGCTGCGACAGACTGACCCAGTCGTGGAGCAGCCAGTCTTCATTCAGCAGCCTGCAGCGGGTACCATCGTATGACAGCTTTGACTCAGAAGACTACCCTACTGCCTTGCACGGCCACAAGCCCAAGGGCACTTTCAAAGACTATGTGAGGGAGCGCTCAGACCTCAGCAAGGATAAACCTGTCATCCCAGCAGCAGCACTGGCAGGATATACAGGTGAGGCATCTAGCGGTCATAGTTTATGTAATGTTAGACCTCTTTTTTTCTTTTTTAGCAGACATATCTCCAAAGGGGAAAGAGTGGCCAAATCAAACCATGAATAATAACTTTTCATATACGTTGTTGTAGACTTTGTAGGAGTTCTGAGTTCTTCCTCATGACCTCTGCAGACTTTTGCATGTTTTTTTGCAGTGGGTACATGTCTAAAATAATGTCTTTGGAATTTGGTAAAGATGCCTTCTAGTTACAAAATGTAGTTTCTGAAGTTTGGCATATTAAAAATTCAACTCAGTGCAGTGATAACGCAGGTTTTGGTGCTCTGCAAAAGCCCTCAAACACGAGAAGGTGCTAAAATGCAATGCCGTCAGACCAAAAGAATCTCTCTAGCAGCCTTCGGCACGCACATTACAAGAAACTGAAAAGATTAAAACTCGTATTTTTATATTCAAATTTTTTCTCGTCTTGTTTTCTCTCTCTCTATTTCTCACAATCTTTTATCCTGTCTCACTTCTCATCTACCTCCTTGTTATCTGCAGCCCGCATCTCAACCTATTTTTTTCCAGGTCGTCTTAGCAACGCTGGTGAAATATAGAAATAATGCCTGCTTTTGCACATAACACCGGTGTAAAATTATCTCCTTATCTCATGAGGCATCTTCATACGGTTCGTGCTCAAAGAGCTGGTTTATGTTTGTTCTCCATGTTGAACAAGATGTGGGACCATCTGAACATGCTACTGAAGCAAACGCACAGTTTTAGTATCTTTTATCTTTTTTTTCCTGAAAAAGGTGCATGCAAACTATTTCTGACACTTTATGGGATTACAAATATGTCTTTGGTTTCAAATGCTTTCTTTAGAAACCACACAAAGGAAACTTTTATTTGCAAATGAAAAGGTACTTCCCAAATGAAACACCGCATTGGTAAATGCTGTGCACAATACATATTCGCAGTCAGCTAAAGTTTAGTCTTTAATGCATATCTGATTTAATAATCAGATTGTCAGGGACAGTTCAAGTGTAGACACTGACTTGCCTCAAAAAAAAAGTGTTTGGGACTTTTTCAGCTGTATTTAAATTATGGTCACAAGGCTGCAAGATTGCAAGCAACAGAAAAGGGGAAATCCAAGCAATTCTCTCAACTTCTCAAACAATGCATACACCAGATATCAACTGACTGTCCCAAACTTGGTATGCATGTGTTAACTTGTTATCCGTATGGTTATTAGTTCAAAAGCCACTTATAGGACAATGAGTCATTCATTCAGGAAGATGTTTGAAAGATGCTGTAATGTATAATCGAGTACTGTAACGTAAGACACAGTCTAATAGGCCCTCTAGAGACCGTTACATTGCCCTCTGCACCCTTTTTGAAGTCAAAGAACAGAAGCGAGAAAGTATATTCAACAGAAAACATTAATATAGTGCAAGAGTTTATAAAGGAACAGGAAAACCAGAGGTTGATAAACAGGGATTTGTTTTTGACTCCAAATCAGACGAAAACCCTCATTTGAGAAATGTGCCTGTACAAATAGCAGCACAAGATATAAGGAAAAGCATGTAGACTTTACATGTATGCATGTAAAACTATTCACTACTTCATTTACCCCTTCAGTCTAGTTAAAATGACTGGACAGTTGACTCTAAAAAGGTTCATGTGTGAAAGCCTTGCAAGTGTTTTCTGCCTAATGCATGGTGATGTATTCTCACTGAGGAGAATGAGCTTTTTTTCTGAGCTTTTACACAATGGAGAAAGGGGACGATGCAAAAAAGAAAAAAAGATGTCAAAATAGCCCAATTTTCCAGAAAGAGAAAAATGTTGAGGAGTATGCTCTGGTTCAAGCTGTCATTACAAGCAGCAGGAGGCAGAGTGTAGTGCCTCAAAGGTGGAAGGATTTTTTCGTGTGCATGTGTGTCAAACCCGTGGGCTTATTCGTGGGTGGATAAAGAGATACATGAAGAGAGAGGAGTGAAAGGAAGAAAAAAACAACTTAAGCAAAGAAAGAATATAACAGACATATGTTAAAATCCAAATCAATGTTTATGACGGCTCAACAACTCTCTCTGCTTGACTTCCTGTCTCAGAGGCAAGGTGACAGGTGACACTTGCAGCAAAGGACTGAACCTTATAAGGTTGGGCAGAGATAAGTAAAGCTCAAGTTGTCACCTCCATGGCTTCCTGTGATGGTTGCTATCTACACTCCTCTCTACATAACCATCACAGTATTATAATGATATAATCTTAAAACGTACCGTAATACTTCTTTTCTACTTTTACACATAATATAACAACCTTTCAAACATGGGAATAGTGATTTGACTTGTGATTTTTCACCATAGTAGTCATACATATTTAAGAGAACACAAAACTATGCATTGATTTTAAATGGCAGAAAAAAATGTCCTCCCATTCTCTTCCAGTAGCCTCGTATGCTCAAGACGTATTTAGCATGCTGAGGGTCACAAACTCAGCGCAGCTCTGACTGCGAACTCTCACCAAACCCACCCTTTTGACACAGTGCATGCTTTTTCAATGGGGCCCATTGTGCATGGAGGCTCGAAACATATTTTTGGAAACTTTTTTGTCAAAGGGTAGCCTACATTCTGGCGTGAGAGCACATGGGGGCTGGTAAACCAGCACTGTATCGCCCTTATGTGGGCTTGCTGTTACAGACGCAGACTTAAGGAATGCGAATCAGAGCTCTCTGTCTAAAAGAGACCCAGTGTTGCCACTTATTTTCCAAAGTCAGGCAAGCTGTTGTCATGCACCTTCTCCAGGCCTAGCAGGAGTGAAAAGCAGCATTTCAAGTGTTCAACCCACACGCCTGTTTCCCTTAAAGCTTTTGTTTGTGTTCTATAAGGGTACATTTGGTTTTCTGAGGCACTCGAGAGAGGTGACTTTTGCTTGGCTTCGGCTTTGCTGAGGCGGTGTGTGCTGCATAAGCAGGTGTGATTTCAACACGCGAGGCCTCAAAAGTAGGTGGGTTAGTGTATAGGCTGAAAAACCACAAGATCAAAGTGTTCTGCTGTGAATCTAGTTCAGAGACAAGACCTGCCTTTTTCTGGTTTTCTTTGTGCTGCTTTCCCTCTTTTTCCACAAGATGTAATGAGTTGTTGTCGAAGCGCTGAAGTTTAGTTTGTACAAATTACCGTATTACTGTTACCATGAGAAATAAATCTGTTTCATCATTTAAGGTCACTTCACAGTCTGTCTCTCTCATGCACGCTGTATTTCAAGTGCTTAAAAATGCGCTGCTCAAGCCTCAAGGCAGCGGCTCTTATTTTAAACGAGTGATTTCATCAGAATGGAACTCTTACAGACACAGACTCTGGATTCACATACTGTACAGGGCAAACAGCAGACAAGGGAATACATGGTGAATGGCACTGTTGTATTTAGGAGGACATTTAGTTCAACTTCTGTACTTCAGTCTGACCCAGATTAGAAGGTTTAGTGTGTTCCTCATCTAACGTCGTAAAAGTGTGCACTGTTGAGGGACGGAACTTTTATCTCCTCTTATCTTTGCATTGCATGAATGTTGTCTCACACACTTATGAACCCACATTCTCAAAAAAGTGTACAACTCTACGTGTTTATATTTATATATACATGAATTGTTTCCTAAGTGTAAGGGTGCTGGTGTCTTTCCAATCCTTGAACAAACCAGAGTAGATGCCAAATTGAACTAATACATTATCTCCTCTGTTCTGCAGGCAGCGGACCCATCCAGCTGTGGCAGTTTCTCCTGGAGCTGCTGACCGACAAGTCTTGCCAGTCCTTCATCAGCTGGACAGGCGACGGCTGGGAGTTCAAGCTCTCTGACCCAGATGAGGTGAGAGGTCATGACTTCGCTGGTCACTGGTACACATGCTGGGAGGTCCTAAGTGTTTAGCCAGATGAAGTGATGTCTACTGATTTTGTCCAAACCTTTGCATGCTTTGTTTGGCATCATCAATCTTTAGGAATGGGTGACTTTACCGATTTTGCTCTTTATTTGTTTTTCCTTTGCAAAAAGAAGCAATGAGAAACAAATTGTGATGTATTTTCACTATTACTTAACTTTTTTGCACATGCGCAATATGACTGCTGAAGTTGTTTTGACACAGTTCTTGTCTGCACCCTTTCAGGTTGCTCGGAGGTGGGGTAAAAGGAAAAACAAGCCCAAGATGAACTATGAGAAGCTGAGCCGTGGCCTGCGCTACTACTATGACAAGAATATCATCCACAAGACATCAGGGAAACGCTACGTCTACCGCTTTGTCTGTGACTTAAAAAGCCTGCTGGGCTACACTCCTGAGGAGCTCCATGCAATGTTGGACGTAAAGCCCGATTCGGACGAGTGAAACCGAGATGAAAAAGGAGTTGAAGATAGAAGTTAAGGTGCCACATTGACTGTGGCTGATGAAGTGGTCTTAACTGTTTGATAGAGCCAGTAAACCATTTGTTCTGGGGACCAAAATGTTTAAACGAATAATTGTGGTCTTTATCAACTTCAAGCTCCTGTCTCTCAGAGATTGTTTTAGAAAGAAGGCACAAGCCAAGAGCCTGTATTCATACCCTGTTGCATTTGAGATGTGTGCGCGCGCATGAATGTGTGTGTATATGAGTATGCGAGTGTGTGATTTTGTGCCGGTATAATTTAGCAGCTTGAGACGGATGGGGCACCATGGGTGGAGTTAAGGTTCTGCTCCAGCTGAGTAGCACAGCAGGGTGACAAGAGGACCCCGACAGAAAGTCTGAGAATAAGTGGAAAAGAGAAAACAAAATAGTGCTTCTCATTGTAGGGGAAACAGAGAACTGGCAGAAAGTACTTGCAAAGAGAAAAAAAAAAGTTGCCAAAATGTTAAAAAAATACAAAGAAATTTAGAAAATTGTTGTCTCATTTCAACCAACCATCCCCACTGTTTCTCTTTATCAAAGTGAGATTCTTCAGCTTGGACCAAAAAGTGTTGTTTCTTATTGTTTTTTTATGAAAGCATATGCTTGTGCCAGTATTATATTATTGACATTAAGAGCAGCCAATGTAAACCAAACAGGAAAATAAAAGTAGGAGTATTATTTTCTTTTTATATTTTTATTCTTTTGTCAATGAAGGTATTACAGTGGAACCAAACATAAGACGCCAAGTGTAACTGGTCTCCAGGAGCCTTTACCTGAAATGTGCTGATGTGTTATCAGACAACACTATTGACACTGGCCCTGCTCTCTGTGGGGTGTGAGGACCTGGTGACTCATACCTAGACTGTCTGATGGACTGACAACTGAAAGTAGCCGTTGCTTTTGAAACTGACGCTTTCACCTTTACATGCCTGCCACTTTGTCAGAGACACGTAATGTGACTGAAACTTATGCATTTTTTTTGCATATACCACCAGTATTAGCAAACTGTAGACAATCTCTGTGGAGGGAAGTCAGGAGTCTCTGGCAAGAGTTCGTTTTAATGTGCAGATTAGCTGCATAAATTTGTCGTTTCACTGTCCATGTTCGTGTTGCTTTAGAAGTGTTTGAATAGTCTTATGTCTGTCTGAGTATCTATATCATAAAATCCCAGTGAAAAGTAGGGAATGAGGTTTTACAAAGTCCTAAGAATGTCAGATTTATGCTTTTTTTACGTCATGTTTTTTCGGTCACAAGGAGAAGCAGCTGTAGTGTCTTGAGGATGTGCAGAGAAGGGAAACGGGAAAGACAATTGAAAAATGAGAGATATGGAGGTTGTATGATTTAGATGGATGTGACTGTAGAATATTAGGATACTTGTGACCATGATCTGACATGGTATGACTGAAAGGAACTTAGCTCTCTGTGGAAGTTTGCATTTCATTTGTGGTAATTCAAACACATTTACAGTGAAGTGCAGCTCTCACTGAAACCTCATTGCAAGTACAAACATTCAGGACCAGTGGCAGACGTTTGTGTGCCATTCTTAGGTTTGAGTGTAATTATCCACAAGCAAAATTATATTCAGGTCATGGCTAGTAAGTTGTGTGATCTGTGCAGTTTTTTTCAAAGACTTTGACTGGTTACATATGAGCACATTGGCTCCAGTTCTCCTCCTAATCTTGGAAGAGTGGCTGTACACTGGCCTTATGGGAAATGCCAAAGTGGAACATCATCTTAGAATACAATGTTTACAGTGGCTGAATGTTACCCATATGGATGAAAATAGCTTTTGAGATGTCTATTTGTACAGATTGTATTTCATAATACTTTATTGAGACCCAGATTACACAAATAAGCAAGAGACAAAGCAGGAAAAATAACCAAAACTCATGTGAGGTCTTTGGTCACAGTGCTTTGGGTATCAACCACAGCGTTAGAAGACAGGGACCAAAATCCTCTCACACTTTTGGAAAGTGTTGACTTTTCTTTGAGGGTTTTTTTTTTGAAGCACACAGAAAAAAGACAAAGAAAAACAGCTTTTGGTTTTCTGAGTTTTCTAATTAGGCACAAGCTGTGACTCATGAGTGTCCACTCTAGTCATGGTAAAACCAATTAAAACAAAAAAAACCCCACACCTTAATTGGTTAAAAGCTGCACTGTACTTTCATTCCTATCTGTGTTAATGTTTTTGTTTTTTTCAGGTTCTTCTACTTGTGGCAGTGCTTTGTGTTGAAGAGATTTTCACAGATTTTTAAATAAACGGTAAATATACAGGTTGTCAGTGCCCTAGAAAAACCTTTTTACCCACACAAGGTCATAGTATTTTTAAGTTTGGCTTTTTAAATTCCATGTGCGAAGAAAAAGAATCTGTTACCAGAAATGCTGATATCTTTAAAATTATTTTGTCAGGAAATATACTGTTATCAAATGTCACAGATTGCAATCTACTGCAGGTCTAATGTATTACTAAACCTTAGTAGGGCAAATGTACACACACAAAAGTAGTTTGTGGCATATGCATATCTCAGAATGGATTCAGAAGGAAAACTTTTTGTTATGTATGTTGTTGTTTTTTCATATTTTATATTGTCTTTGTATTTTTGTTATGAGATCATTTTTATTGTATTTAGTTCACAAGCAATTGAATATTTTTCAATAATTTATATTTTATAAAGACAAGAGTTGCAGACAGCTGGTGCTTACATGGGAATTTAAAGGTAGCGCAGGACAAAATAATGTAGCGTTTTGTTTTTTTTTATGTTTTTTTTATTCTTTTTTGATACAGAAATAGACTTGTCTGCTTGAGATAAAAAGGCTGATGCTGGCCCATCAATGATTTCTGCTGGAAAGGTTTTATAAACTGTAGCTTCTATTTCTAAAATGTACTTAATGTACTTCAAAATGTTATAAAATATATGTGAACAAGGATTTCATAACTGTGTGTGGTGTTTTATTTTAATTACACATATATATTGTGATATAATATGCACACATAGATGTATCAATGCTTTATTTGAAGAATACTGGGTGACCAGTTTTGCTTTACAAGGTCAGTGTGTTTGCATAACAACTGCTAATCTTTTGGCATGAGCAAAGTCAGGCCTGATTCAAACAATTCAACAGCAAGTGGTTATGAAACCTCTTAGAGACTCAATGAAGATGAATTGAGGGATGTTACTTTTAATGATAATTAATCTCTTTTTTTAAGTGGCACAAATTAGTCAAACAATTCAGCTGGTTGTACAAGTGACCACACTCAAGTACTTCAAAGGATCTTAGGGTTTGCTTTGAAATCTACGGCAGGCCATGTTCTGTCCCTGTTTTAACGAGTTTGTCCCATGTGCGCTGATGAGGTGACGTCAAAACAGAATCAGTACACTGGGGCCCATTCATGTGCTGGAAACCTCAGGCTCATATAAATTCCAGTGTAGATAGAAAACATACAAGTCCATGGCCTGCTCCCCGAACAGCACAGCTGTTTGGCTCTGTGCAGCAGTCTTGCAGTAAAACCAAAACACAGATCTAGTAGACTGTTTTCCAGCTCTAGTCAAAGGGAATTTTGAAGGAACAAAAACATGAATAACACGAAAAACAAAAAAAAACAAACACAAAGTTGAAAATGTGATCTAAGTTTTGAGAAGAGAAAAGGTCTGTGCAAAAGTAAAAAGCAGGATATCATGCTTTATGGCGAAGAATATGATTTAACATTACATATAAGCAAAGCAGTAACAAAAGTGATCTTTTGGTAACGCTTTACTTGACGCCTATCTCTATAACACATTATAAATATATGTATAATGCATTATAGTCACATTATAGCATTCTATAACTACAGTTATAAACACTCATGAATGATCATAATACTTTATAGCAATAATCATAACACATTATATAGCATTTTATCATGACTTACAAGGTCAGGTATTATAATGTGTTATAATTTGCTTATAAACTTGTATAACTATCATTAAAAACACCCATTAATTATAATAAGGCTTTATAACAATAAGCATAACACATTATAAAACCTGACCTTGTAACTCATGATATAATTTGCTTACAAACTTGTATAACTATCATTATAAACACTCATTAATTATCATGATGCTTTATATCAATATGCATAACACATTATAACACATCATAAATATATGTATAATGCATTATCTATGTGGGCATTGTCAGTTAGTTGTTAATAGTTCTAACACATTATAATACCTGACCTTGTGAGTCATGATAAAAGCTTTATAATGTGTTATGATTATTGCTATAAAGCATTATTATCATTAATGAGTGTTTAAAACTATAGTGATACAGTGCGATAATGTGATTATAACGCATTATACATATATTTATAATGCGTTATACAGATAGGCGTCAAGTAAAGTGTTACCGATCTTTTAACTAGATCAGCTCTCCTGTTGGATCTGCAGCAGTTGTTCCAGGCGGAGGGCAGGCTGAGGTTATCCAGGTGGTTTTTCTCCTCTCCCACCTCCCTTGCTCTGTCCTGGCTCATGATCCACACCAGACACAATCATGAGGCAGGTTTTTAAATACTTCCTTGATATGTGCAAGTCGCAATGAACCTGGACCAAAATCCAAACTCCTATGATACCACTGATACCCACTTATTCCACCTCCAAGCCCAGACAGAAAGCTGGCTCACACACATTACCTACTTTGTAAAAGCTTTTATTGATGTAAAGCAACGTTTCAATGTGAAAGAAAGAAGATAAAGTGAGAGAGAGTCTATACTCGAAGTCAAAACTGTGAAATCTGGTAGTCACGAAACGATGTCAGCCGAATTGCTGTCTGACCTGACTTAACGCTGTGTTTAACAGCTTACAGCTCACTTGACCCTGGAATGCAGCCCGTTTTTCAGATTTCAAACCTAAATATTTATAGAAAAGGTCTTAACAAACTAAATCTGTCCTCTGCATAGAGTCTTAACATAACTGAGAACGACAAGGAGGGAGACACTGGTGTAAGCATGACACTTAGAAAAAAAAAAAAAGCTATATCAAGTACACAGCTCTGATTAAAAAAACGTTATTTATTCATATGTCTTCAGAGATGAGGAAACTGTATTGAATCTTAATTGACAAACCATTTATTACGACATGGACTTCAATTACTGGCTCTTTTATGAATTCAACAAATTGAACATTTTTAAATATTTTGGGTTACAGAGATTTTCTTGTGTCCTATCACACATGCATACAATGTGACATAGTTTAGGAAGAGATGATAAAAATCAGCTTTTACTTTGAGTAATATAAAGCACTTCAACTGAGCCAAGTTTTGGGGGCCGCCCCAAGTTTTTAGCTCTTGACAGTAATTTGTAGAAGATCCAAAATCGCTGTAAGCAAGTGAAACTTATCAGGGACTGAGAACAGTTCATGTTTTGTGGTGTATGTACCTCATAAATTCCCTTTAAAAAGAACATAAATCTCCACATGTGAATGTTAGAGTACATCTGTGTATCATAACAGGAATATAAAGATCAGTGCAGCAGAACTGGCACTCCATTGACATACAATTAAAGTGATCACCCTCTGGCCCTGGATGGGATTTTTTATGGCTTTTTTTTTTTTTCAAAGTGTGCAAAGTTTTCAGATTTTAGGGAAAATATCACCCAGTCTGGATATCATCAGTGCAGAATCTCTGCTTCAGCTGTGTTGCAGACACAGTCGACATTATTTGGATCAAAGATCAGATTGACCTTCTGCTATAAATAGGGGAGAAACACAACTTTATCTATCCCCACTGCCCCAAATTAAAATCCTCTTCAAAGATAGAGAATCCCTGTGACGCACAAGAGACCAACTCAGTGGTTCCATTACGCAGGGAAGTTGTGAAATATGACCAGTGTGTCCCTAAGGGCCCTGATGCTCCAACTTAAGACACAGATGCCTGGGGATATATTCATGTCTAATTGTCCTCCATGGTTAGGTTGACATGGGCCAGTTAGGACTTTAGTGGTATCAAGGGACAAACATGAAGCAACTTAGATTTGCCGTGTCTTCTCAAACATGACCCTTCTCATGGATTTCAGACAGGGATGGACACAATGGCAGAATTTAAGAGATGTTATAGATGAACATGTCCAGAAAAGTCATTGGACTCTTCTTGTGAAGACTTTCCTTTTATACTCACTGAAGTGTCTTCACTTACTATCCAGCATTTTAAACGTTAACAAAAACAAGCGCCTCATATGAACAAAAGCAGACATTTATTGTGAAAATGAAAATGTGGTTCAATGGAGTCCAGTGTGTGGTGTTATGACACCCAAACTTTGGATGAAACCTTATTCCATCCTTGTCAAACACACTGAATAAAGCACCCCTTGAAAGATGGTCAATCACTCAAAGTGATGTTATGAAACTTTATTTTACCTCCTAGAATTACATTACAGCGGCCTCTTTAGGGGAACTTTGACATCAAGCAGGTGTTACAAATAAAACCCTGTTTTTATTAAAATGAGATATCAAGTGACATGTCTTATTTCCACTTACAGCCAGAAGTCCATTTTCTCTTATGTTAATTCCCACATGTGCTTGTCAAACTCCTCCCCTCCATCGTCTGCTGATCCGTGGTCTACCTAAAATCTGATTCTGAACTTTTTCAGTACATTTTGGAGAAATCATGACAGACTGTGCTCGTTGAGCTGAGCTAACAATTTGCTAACAGGCTAATGGGCTATTTTCCTCACCTCAGTTTCTTAACGCTGAATGTTTGAAGAAAATGTTTATTAAGTTACAAAATAATAAAATATGGTAATACGTTATTTACATTTAGATCATCTTAAGTTTGGTATTAAATAAAGTCAGATTCATTTGTTAGCAGACAAAAGTAGCCTCTACTTCAACAGGTATAAGGTACCTATCCATCCACAAAGATATAGACTTCCTTGCATTAAACATGAGAGCTATCATGTTTGCAGATCTACAGAACTATGTATGTTTGTATGTGGAAATGTGGGGTTTTAGGCTTGAATTAGGTGGGCAAGATAAAATCAACACAAAGAAAAATAATTGTGGGAGGTAAAATTATTTTAAAGCTAAAACAGCTTTTGCTTCAACTGAAAGCCTTTTTCTAAAAAAATGGTTCAAGTTTATTTTCTGCCATCATATCACCCTCCTCGCTTGTCAAAAATAGGCATAAAGAAGCAGGATTTAAGTGGGCAAGCAGGTAGTCAATTTAACTTAAAATTGGAATAATAATCAGGTTTGAGATTATTTCATCGGGACCACAATATCCCTTTAATCAGTACTTGAAAATTAACAACAATGAAAAACAAAAAAAGATTACATACACAAAGTACATAAGAAGACATGTGTTGGGCAGATTTGGGGTCACATGGCCCATGTCTTACCTCTATAACCCCCACATTTTTAGAATTTCTTCTCCAACCTTGAGTGAGTCAAAAACAATAAAACTCTGAGATGGAAAAACCTCTCCTTCTAAATCACATAATGACATATCAATGTGTTACAAAGCATCAGAAAGCTGCTTGGCAATGTGGAATCTCTGACAGAGAATCTAAAATTCTTAAGGTTACGCAACAAAACTCCTGGCTTTCATTTTCTCTCCCATTCAGCAATTTTTCATGTAACTCTGGTCAAGATTCCTGCATTGAATTTTGATCATAATTCAGTGTTTTACTTTTAAAAAGACATGTATTTACAGAGGCATACATTAACTTTGTAGAAAGCTATTTAAACATGATGACGTATTCCTTTGCTCTAGTACTCATAGTGTGATGGTTTCTCACATAGTCCGTCTCTTTCTTATTCCTTCTCTCCTCATTCATTGTATTGTGTCTGAGATGTGTTGAACCACATGTCTTGGCAGGTGTACTGACTGTATTATCCAGGCTTATGAAGGGCAGCTCCAGACCACCCCCTGCTTTGGCTGGTAATTTGCATTTTTATTGCCATTGTCACATCCTCAGTTAATACACCATTGACTCCCAGAGCCACCCCTGGACCTAACGGCATCACCTTGCAATCCCACCTGAAATGAGAGTGCCTGCTGGCCCCTGAATCTGCGCTGGCTGAAGCTCAGGTACGGGGCGACCTGGCATTCTGGGACGGAAATGGAGTGTCCTTTCATGTTAATGTGGACTTTCCATTAGGGAAGGTGATTGATTTGTGCTGTGCTGTTGCAGTGAATAGGCAGTAGACTGGCACAATACAAGAGCGAGATGGGGCTTTGTTAGAAGGTGAGGCAGTGTGTGAACTAGAGTGTGACTGAATCAGGGTGCTGATGATGGGGGGGAGAGGGGAGGTAAGAAGGGGTTTGAGGAAGGAGATGAAGAAGGTTTAATGCAGAGGTTTGAGGGTTAGAAGGTGAAAAGAGTAAAGGAGGAGTGGAGGGTCTATGAGTGGTGGGGCATGGCAAAGGTGGAGAAGCGGCGAGTACATTTGGTATTGTTCACAAGGCAGAAGAAAGAAGAGTGTGGAACAAAGAGCTCTGGACCAGCTTCCTCGTCTAACAAACGATTACTCTTAAGTTGTTGTTTTTTCTGTAAAGGTATTCAAATAATTTGTCATTTTAAAGTCGTTTCTTTTCAGAAGTTTAGGTGTAGGAAAAACTGTTACAGTGTTTGAACATGCACTATGAGAGGAACAAGAGGGAGCGAGGTTTTGGTCACTGTCCAGTTGAACAAGCAAATGTTTTTGCTTTTCTTTTACTGTGTGTCGACTGGGATTCAGCAACTTTCCCAGGACATCTGCTCCCAACGCCCACGTTTGTATCTTCATCCAATTGGATTGCTTCTTTCACCACTAAGACTTGTGGGTGCTGCGCAGTGATTGGCTCCCCAGGCCAGGGCCCAGAAAGCAAAGGCTGAGCCCTGAGAATTTTCCGAAACATTTTCTCCCCTGTCTTGGCTTTCGCCAACATCTGCTTCCAATCAACCTTAGTGAAAAGACAGCTTCTCTTTCTCCCTGCTGTCTGGGTTACACAAACACACACAGACACACACATTCACACACACACAAACACTTACACACACATGCTTACACCAGGCAACCTTTTCCAACCTTTTAGTTGTATCTGTCAGGAAATTTCAAGTTTTAAACAATAGTAATTGTATATTTTTTTAAAAGTCAAAGTGCAAGCTAAGCTCTTTTCTTTAATTTTGTTTCTGACATTTTGACATGCCACACTTACATGCATCAACTTCTAAATGTTTGTCTGCAAAAAATGATCCTTTATTAACAAAGAATCCATCTGTGACTGAGATCTGACCATGCTGACTGGGGGCAAAAAGGGGAGGATTTGGTCAAAAGAAAAACATTTTCATGGGAACATACTCTAAAACACCCCTTAAATATACTTTTCACTACTGCCCACTGCACTCCATCCCACCCTTTTATGAGAAAATAGTACTAAGGGTCAACTTCCTTGACCGCAAGCGTTAGTTTCTACAAGTCTGCCTCCCTCACCCCGTACTTTCTCGCTTTCATTCACAGCTCAGCCCTCCTGTGTGGTCATTTCTGTTGCTCCTATTGCGTGACTTTCAACTACAACAAGTCAACAAACAGCAGAAAAGCCTGCTTATTATGGCAGGTACTTTCCACAGATATTCAGAAATAAGCATGGTGATTCACTGTAGCCAAAGAGAAACACACAAAGTAAGCAGCAGTTACTCCACTTCACAGCAAAAGCTTGCTATTATCAGCCAGGCTGACTGTGTTGTTTCTGCCAGCTTACTGCTTAATAGGCTTTGGCCCTCACGGCTAAACAATCATGGGAGAAATAACTTGGAGGTTAGGAGGTTGCTAGAGTGAAATGTGGGATTTATTACTAACAGTTTTTTTGCAAACTAGAGTGAAATGAGAGTCTTCTCAACAAATTTAAATACCCCCTTATTTATGAAAAGGAATTAAAGGAGCTCCCTTTTAAATAGGAAGACTGAACACTTAAGAGTTTTCATTATGAAACATCATTACCTCTGAATATACTTTTTACTATGAATATTTTTCAGAGGGTATTAAATCATTTTGAACCTGTTGCTAAACTATGACCTTTTGGGGAGATGAAGATAACCAGAAATGACCAGTGGCAGCCTGATTTTTGCTTCCCCTCCATCCACCTTTGACCCTTAACACCACTGGTTTTGTAGTCCAGCTCCTGCCAGACATGGTCTGATTTACAGCGCAGTAATGCTGACTGGTCTACAGGAGTTATCCTGGGTCAGGCCGAGCTAATAAATTACAAGTGTGTCACTCCAGAAAAGACTAAAGCTAACCTTAAATCTGCTGCAGTTGGGATTTAGGAGAGGCATGGGCGTCATAGTAGAGGAGTAGTGGTACTCATTACCCAGGGTCTTGGCAGAGGAAGGAGCTTTCAATGGGCCTGAAATAACAATATATATTTTTAACACAATTCTTCCACAGTTTGGGAAAAGTTAGTCACTCACCCCTGATAAATGCCTAAAAATGTTTATGCTGTCTAATTCAGCCTTGCTTAATACAGTAGGAAGATATTTGGGTCAAGAATGCAATTTGTCTTATGGTTTAGTCAAAGGCAGGGATTTAGGGCCATGCACCTTCAAAGACCAAAGCACCCATGGATGCCAGCATAAAGAATCTCTAATTAGCTAACAAACTTCCCTCCCTTCTCCACTTGACTTTAAAAGACTGGGTGACAGCTGGTGAACTTTTACATAATCCATCATTGACAGAATGACTGTGAAGAACACTGTGACTTCCAAGCCGAAGGCTCCTGAAAACGTAATCACAGTGTGGATGTATGACAGATGCATGTTGCTTCAGGCCAGCTGAACTGTCACAAGACTAATGCTGTGTTCCAGTTACCTCGGAAGTTGGATGTCGGAGCTGTGAATGACATTACACCGGAGTTGACGGCGTTCCAGTAAACAAGTTGGAAAATGGTCAGAAGATGGACGCCTACTGTTAGCTGTTGTTAACAATTGTCAACGGTCATTAGCCGTTGTCGGTTGTTGTTAGCGATTGTCAACTGTTGGTAGCCATTGTCGGTTGTTGTTAGCAATTGTCAACTGTCATTAGCCATTGTCAGTTGTTGTTAGCGGTTGTCAACTGTTGTTAGCCATTGTCGGTTGTTGTTAGCGATTGTCAACTGGTGTTAGCTTTTGTCAGCTGTTGTTAGTTGTTGTTAGCTATACCTGTTGTAAACAACGCATAACACAGTATTCTACTCTTACAAACACCATAGCATCGTGTTCACAGTAAGACTTTGGGCAGCACAACATATTCCACTTATTTAATTTCACAAAAACAAAACAGAAGTGCTAATAAATAATATATTGCAAGAGCTTTCGATGTTACTCTTTACTGTAGATGCGCTGCGCTGCCATCTTGGATTATGACGTTGTCGTCAAACCGGGGTTGGTCAGGATTGTCCGACTCCAGATAAATTTCCGACTTGGAGCTAGGAAATGCTGACTTCCGAGTGCAACTGGAACACAGCATTAGTTGTGGAAAAACAAGGCAAAGTCTTTAAGCAGATAATGACCACTGTTCACTAATTTAAAAAGTAAACTCGTGACCTTCCTTTTTAGTCCGGCTTTTAGCAGATTTTTGATTTAATCCCTTAATGTGCGAAATGTGATTTTCACCTATTTTAGTCCAAGAGTTAAGATTATGTGTTGAACTTCCTCTTTTATATTTATTGTCTTTTATTGTTTGGTTTTAAGACTGTTTTACTTTAATGAACTTTTAACGCTTCATTATTTTAATATATGGTTTTAGTGGTTTAGTCTAAATCCAGTGTTTCCTCATTTTTACCTCAAGCTAGTGTTTCCTCTGTCGTCTGTGGTGAATTGAGGAGTCCACAACTGTTATTTGTGTGTGTGTGTCTGTGTGTGAGCGTTTCAGTGTTGGATATGTTGAATGTTGGTTTGGACAGTTCTGTATTTCATTAATCATTACCATTTTAAAAACCTGCAAAATGTACAAAAAAAAAAGTCTGTATTAGCAGTTTATCTCAATAGAGTCCTTTGCACATTTTTAAGGTATTTTATTGACTTTAAACAAAGACAAATAAATAAATGAACTTGGCTTTTACAACTTGCTTATTATATGAGTGACAAAAGAGTGTTAGCTAACATTTGTGGAAACATTTAGAAACAAAATGTACAAAGTATAAATTGCTCTGTTTATTTCATTGCTACTAAAATACAGTGTGTACTTCCCTATATCCTTGTGTTAATATGTATCGTATACAATGTATCAAGTATCTAGAAAGTGACAATTAAGAAGCAGATGGGGGTGAAAATGGAAGATGAGTAGATGGGCAAACAGAGATCAGAAACAAAAAAAAAAGTGAACATAAGCCAGTTGAAATCAATCTTGACCTGGAAGCTTTATGTGTGAATAATTAAATAAAAAAGAAAAGCTCATATACAGATGTGTTAGCTATATGCTCTGCTTTTGTCATTCACATGGGTCCTGTTCGGTCAGGTTCAGTTACATGTAAAATGGAATAAGTCGCTGAAAGCCAAACTTCAGCACCTGCTCGTCCACTGTTTGCAGTGAGTCATGAGAACTGGCTGATGATGTGCTTCATGATATGTTGCATGCTCAGTTTTGGCTTACCTTGCTGAGAAAGAGGCTGAGTAATAGCTACATTCAGATGAACTGACATCACTCTCTGCGCATGATGAATGGAAACTGTCCCATGAAATGTTGGGAACAAGGGAATACTAAGTGAAGTTAATTAAAAAAAAAACGGTATTTCTGTGCTTTGAAAGGACTCCAATAAAACTCAGTGTAGTTACGAGGACAAGAGAATGATAGGATTTCTAGCCCCTTGTGGAATTTAAACACAGCCTCATCTGAAAAAGCCACAGTAAATGAAGTTAAATGTTTAGACCTCAGGCACTTTAGAGGTTAAAGTTTGGTGGGAAAGGACAGAAACACCCTGGGTCTCTGTGAAGGCATATGTAAACAACATGAATGAACTATTTTTGTCGCAATAACACAGTAAGTACATGAGATATAACTTACAATAGTGGGGGGCAGAGAAAGGGAGTGAGAAGTGAGAAGGCCAAGTCCCTCAGTGCTCAGGGAGAAGGCTGCGGAGACTGAGAAAGCCTCTGGAGATCTGGACTTGTTAAAGGAGAGTTTCTTGACAAAATGAAAACCAGAAAAAAAGGTATCAATGCAACATGAAGTGTTTTCTGCTTAGGAGTCAGAGACAGTGAAACAGAAAGCTTTGTAATAGATCTGTATTCTCTATATTTATGTCACGAGCAAAATAAAGTCATTACATGAAGGAACATTCAGCCTGCATTTCAAAGCAAAAGCCTGATCTGTGCTTTCGGCTTTCTATGAGGAGACTCCTCTTGCTTTCCCACAATGCTTTTATTTTGATTCTGTGTCAGGACGGTTAATTTGTCTAAGAAGTGACTGACAGGGTAACATGTTGGCATAAATCACATTTTTCCAATTCTTTTGAATTTGTGCATTTGTTTTTCTGCAATCTTGTGTGTCTACCCATCTCTCCTTTCGGCACCTTTCTGTTAACAAGATTCCTGACCAACTCCCACTTACTCCCAAAAGCATTTTCCAACATTAAACACTCAGTTGGCTATGTTATGTGACAACATGGTGAGTGAGATGTATGATTTTATGACCTGTAGCTTTGTGCAGACTTGGTAGATATGGAATATAATGTTTGTGGGAGTGTTTAAGTTGGTGCATTATCACCTGAATTAAACATTGTTTTTTTTTTTGTCAACTTACAATGAGCCTTTTAAATTGTTAGAGTCCTCTTTTTTTGGAGGCCACCATCTTTCTAGCAAAGGCTGGACAAACTGATCATAAACAAATTTGTTTGCAACAGGCAAATAGACACTCAAAATGCATGGTTAGAATATCAAGAACAAGAGTATTTAGTGGGCAAAATAAGTTGCACTGGCAGAAATTTTTTATGTTAAAAAAAACTTGTTGAATGGAGGATGATACTGATACTGCATCAAAGGCACTTCTGGTTCATGAAGGCCACTGTTGATTTATGGACGAGAGGGGTGCGCAGGAGAGCATTTCAGTCTATAAACTGACGTTAAATATTCCTTTTTACTGCATATGGTACCTTTAAATTACAGAATCATTGAAAGGGAAGTGCAAGGTAAAGGAATGAGGACAGGACACACACTCCAGAGTACTTCTTGGGTCATTAATACAGAAATGCATTACGTCAAATGGAGGTTAAATATGGTAGCCTACTGAGTAACTCTGGGCTGGTAAAATGATGTGCATGTGAACATACAGCAATCCTGACTTGTGTTTTTTCTATATTTTGATTGATTAAAATAAATGAAAAATAAGTGATTAGATGAATACATTTTTTTAAAAACTGAATTTGGAGCACTTTTATACTGTTTGATTTTGTCTTCCTATGAATTTGAAATGGTCCCTTAGCTGCACGGACATCAAAAGCAGAAATAAAAAAAGATATTGAAAAGATATTGTCATGATGTAAAATGATAATGATCTTGTACTCCCAGGGTTGCTAAAGCACAGGGCAAACACAGAAATAGTCTCCACTTACTTTATGATTGTGCACAATGGCAGTGTGACATGATATGGTCTGGCCTGTCACAGTGACCAACTTGTTGGTGATCTTTCAAGACCACCAGAAAAATGAGCTTTGTTATCTCTGGATAGTGAGAAAAACAGGTGAGGATCATGAAAACAAATCTCTTCTACGATAGAGAAGTTATCTAAATTGTGGGAAGTTATGAATACATGCCAGTTTATAGTATTCATGTAGCTTAGATGAAGGTCAGGGATCTCACTCTTTGTCTGCATTTCTTTGGCACCCTTATGCTCTGCAGTGATGTAAAGTTGTTTTATCTGTCCATGCGTCTGCATGTTTGGCTTGTCAAAGCACTTGACGCCAGACAGATCCTGCTGCCCTTTATCAGTTTTACACACGTGGACTTGCCAAAGATTACTCACCAAGCCACCATGCAATCCCTCTCGCTCCTTATGGAGGTTTTGTAATTCTTACTTTTCAGCCAAGCAGCTGGATAAGAGTGATTAGACTGAGCGAGTCCATTGGAGCAGTAGCGATTCCAACACTTTCTTGTTCTAAGAGTAAAATAATTAAAAAAAAGAAGAACATTAGTGTTGGGAGGAGAAGCAGAAGCAAGGGAGTTAGGGCAGAACAACAACCGTCAAAGCTTTGTCAATCAATAGCTCTCTCGTGACGGTTTTAGGAGTGTGAAACAGATGTTTACACAGATCGTTTTAAGTGGTAACAAGAAGTCACGACTCACTGGTGCAATTCAACCTCACCGACTCCCACTGCAACTTGTGTGGCACTTTCTGTTTGGTCTGAGGCAAGGTGAAACAACATGGCAGAAGACAACAGGAAAAAAAAAAGAAAAGAAAAAAAAAACACTTGTGAAGGGAGTTATATTTAACAAGCTTGGCCCGGCCTCGCTGCTGCAGTGACGGAGAGAGAGTGACAAGTTTGGAGCCTGGGATGGCTGCCCGAGCACGCTCAGTGGGACACCCTCCCAGGCTTTTCCCACATCACTGGGGGCCAAGGGGGGCCAGGGGCTGAGGCAAGGGGTGGGCTCCTTGCTCCGAGCAATCTTCTGGGCTGTGGCTGGGAAAAGCTGCAGCCCACTGTTCTCATCATCTCCCCCTGTAGTCACTAACCCCGTGGAGAGAGAGAGAGACAGAAGGAAAGATGGACAGAGGGGACAAGATACCCAAGACGAATCTGTGGTCAGGGGAATCAGACCAGCGCACTGAGTCAGAGGACAGCTGACATGCAGCGACAGTATCCCTGTCAAGTGATAAGGATTGAAACAAAGCAGAGCAAAGAGACATTGTTCTTACATTTTAAAGGAAACATGTCTTATTGTGATCTAAGAGAGAGAAAGCAGCTATATTAGATGAGCATCAAAGTTGTCCTTTGTTTGAAGTTTTGTTTATAGCCATCCTCGTATCCAAGGCTAAACTGTTGTCATCCTTTGAAAATGACTCATCAGACAAGTGCACAATGTTAACAGCTCAGTGCGCCTACGCAACATGTGGACCTCAGCTTTCCACTATACAAGACTTTGTTTCACACATGAATCTGCCAGTTGTTAAATGTAAAGTTTGAAATGTTTGTCTATGATCATGAATTTGAAAGGACCCTGATTTTGTAATTTGCCAAAAAAATCAAGCTTTGTCTTTCAAAGATCTTTGTAAAAAGTGCTTGTTTTTAAAGGTTTATTCAGTTCACATTATTTTTTATTATTCCTAAATCGTGTTTGTCTCAGAAACACAGATAATAACTTAACAAACACTCAAAGAAAACAAAAATCAACCTCTCTTTGACAACCTGTAATTATATGTGCAGTTTGTCTTTCAAACAAACCTCCCTCAGCAAATCTGTCAGCAGTCTGCAATCTCAAAAACAAATTGTGGGCAGAATTGTGGCCGGTGGGATTAAGCAAACCTTTTATTGTCAAGTTGTCCCAATTATGAAGAGAACCAGTATGTCACCAGGAGAGTATATTAGCTTTATCCACGTTTCCTTTTAAAAAAATGTAAGATGAAGCTGAAAGGATTCCTGTGTTTAGACCACACACATACAATTTGAACTTTTAGCATTTTTGAGTCTGATTAAATGCTGGTTGTAAAACTCAAGTACAGATGTACACCAGGAGTTCTCAAAGCAGAAATAAATGTGCAGGAAGAGTTGGTACAGCAGCTCCAGAACTCTCAGTTTCTGTCCATTTACACACATACCACACACACTCCTACACACACACGCACACCCTGCATGAAGCTGCATGGTAGGCAGTGTTAGCAGAGATAAGACCTGGCAAGCAGCAAGAGATGAGATGAGCCAGTCTGTTTTTAGGGTCATTGACCAGGCAACCATTAGCAACATGCTCCACTGTTGTAAACAATGTGCATTAGAAGTGGAGTGGTCACATGTGTACACACATCACACATACACACTAACATATACACACACACACATACAAACATGCACAGCTAATGACCTAGAGGATAAATTCTGCTGATTTGACAATCCTCTTCAATTTTTTTAAGCTAGAGCTGCTCTCCTAAATAGTGCTCTATCACTCTCTATCTCTTTCTAACACAAACCCACACACACACACATACACACACACAGGCTTCCTCGCTAAAAGAAGCAAATACAGGAAACCACCTTTATCAGACACTCCGCCCCAGAAGTATTTTTGCTGCATCTGCAAAACTGAACGTCTACAACCAGCTTCAACTGAAATATCAGCACTGTTACTCCCTGACACCACAACCCTCAACTTCACGACAGTTCTGCAGAAGTAAACAATGAACACAACCACACACGCACACACCTACGCACACCTACACACACTGTAAATGCATATTAAAAATGTAAAAATAAATGAATAAATGAAAAAAAATAAATATAAAAAAATATATATACACACACACACATATATAAACTGTATATATACACACAGTGAATAAGTGTCTCTTATTCACTGTGTATCTCTACTGAAAGGATTTTTTCAATTGCATGCTGTAACTCACTTTGACTTTAACACTTGACAAAAGGCCATAAAACAGCAACAGGTATAATCATTGTGCATTTAAGAACAAGCTAAAAACCCATTACAGGAGCTAAACATACATAACATAAACAGTTGCAGTCTGCACTTAAGCATTTAGAACCATACTTGAATGTTTAAAGGAGCGATTGGTAATAATCTCTGTGCTGAGAGGAGCAAAGAGGTTCTATGTTAATGAAGACAGCATTGGGATTGCACAGCTGGGTCCATGAGATACTGTGATTTTATCCAACAGGGCCTTTTTATTAATGATTAAACATCATCAGATGGGCTTAGTCACATAAGTCTGTCATTAAATTACTAGAGATGACACATGAGTTTGCTGTGGGAAGAAAGTAAATCAGTGTGATCGTGACGTTCAAAATGGTATCATCTGAAAAATCTTGAGCTTTTATTTTAGGGAGAGTTCTTGAGGTCCAAATATGTAAACAAAAAATGTATATTAGAAGTAGTCGTAGCAACTGGACACAGATGCAGCAGAGATTTGAGTCATCTCTTGGGTCC